TATCTATCTATCTATCTATCTATCTATCTATCTATCTATCTATCTATCTATCTATCTATCTATCTATCTATCTATCTATCTATCTATCTATCTATCTATCTATCTATCTATCTATCTATCTATCTATAGTTTATCGTTATCATATCTTTGTCCAGTCATGACGTCATCATCATCCAATCATGACGTCATCATCATCATCATCAACAACAATAACAACTACAACAGAGATCACAACTGCCGAGTTCTGGTTCATTGCAAGATGGGTGTCAGCAGGTCTGCCTCAACTGTTAGTCGTCGTCCTCTTCATCGTTATTATTATTATTATTATTATTATTATTGTTGTTGTTGTTATTTTTATTATTATTATTATTATTATTATTATTATTATTACTATTGTGTTAACATTAACATGTTGTTTCGAACTGTGATTGTACAACGACTCTGGCAAGTTACACGGACAGGCATAACAAACTGCTGTTGTTGATTGTCAGCTGGTTAAAGATTTCTGCACCCTCAGACTATTGCATATTTGCCGATCTTAATGTAGATAATATGCGTCCAATGTCACAGTTGTTCGACAGGTTGTGGCCGGACATTGCCATTCTCCAAAAAAACAAAATCGAAATTTTAGATAGAGCTTACAATTTGCCACACGAAACCAACTTAGCTTCATCACGCGAATACAAACGCCAGAAATATAAAAACTTGAAATTAAACTTAAATTCAGTTTATAATAACTGTTCGCTAATTATTAATTCATTTGAAATATCACCTGTGGGTTTTTATAAGAAATTTAATCTAACTTTGCTTAAAATATTATGGCCGAAATCTTTTAATGAAAAATTGATTAACGCGGTAATTAGCTCGTCATATAGCATACATTGTGACAGAAACACTACTTAACCGAATTTAAATATATTTTTTTACTCCCAAGCACTTGTCGATCAAGGAGTGTGAGAGGATCATACACTCTGATATAGAATTAATAATTTTCGATTTTAACTTTTCGATTTTTCGATTTTCGATAATTTGGATTTTAACTTTTCGGTCAATAAAAGAATGTTTCCATTGTTATTATTAACGAGATTATATTTGTCATTGTCACATAACCATTATTATACCGTCATCTTCCCCGTCACCATCATCACCTAATCACCACCAATCACTAAGGTGATAGCCTATGTGATGAAAGAACGCAACATGAGTGCCGCTGAAGCCACTAAGTTCGTGAGATCCCGAAGAAGTTGCATCCAACCGAATCCAGGCTTCAAGAGGCAGCTGGAGACCTATGAAGGAATACTGGACGCCAGGTTTGTTGGCCTGGCTGTTCTTTTTTTCTGCTTCTCCATTTTTCATTTATCCAAATTTGTAAACAATTTTCACTCCGGTATTTTTTTACCTCAATCAATACATCAGTCAATCATTTCACCAATCAATAAATCAACCAATCATTCAATCAATCAAGCCATGCAACCGTAATTTTCCCAGCAAGCAGCGTCACAGCCACTTGTGGAAGTCATCCACCTCCTCCCTTGCAAGCCTCGAGATGACAGAATCATCATCATCATCAGCCGCTGTTTCGTCATCATTTGCACCGCCATCATCATCATCAGCAACATTGATGACATCATCAATGACGTCATCCGCATTGCTTTCTTTTTACGTTAACGTTAATGATAACGTTAATTGTTCTTCATGTAACGGAGACAGCAGCAGCAACAACAACATTAGGTCCGTGACATTAACTAGAACAACATCCTCAAAAACAACAACAACATCCACAACAACAACAACAACGTTGCCAGCTTCTACAACATCTGCAGGGGCAATAAAATTCACAACACCGACAACGCCATTGACAATAACAACGATACCCGCAACAGCAACTGCCACATCTTCTACTGCTGCTACCACTACTACTGCTACTTCTACTACTGCTGCTACTGCTTCTGTGGCTAGTGCCGCTAATGTTGTTTCATACTCTGGTGATTGCGGCCTTACAACAAACCAGTATATCTCTGCCTTTAGTACTACCATTAACAACGCTGACGATAATGAGTTTGATGTAAATGATGACGATGATAATACGAATGATGGTAAGACGGTATTATCATTTTCATCTGTGTGTAATTATACTGTGAACCAAGTTGATGATGGCATAGATGATGAGGGTAAGGCTGTGAAGTTTGACTCTGATCATAATGATTCATTGCCATCTTCTTTCTCTCCACCCTCTGAGTCATTCAAAGAAATGTTCCTTTCATCATCAATATTATTGCCGTCGTCATCGTCATCTTCATCACCGTCCCCACCATCGTCATCATCGTCGTCGTCACATTTTTATTGCAATGTCTTTTCTTCTCCACTTTCAACCATAAACGAACCACCAACATCATCAACCCCTCTGGGGCCAAAGTTCAAAGTTCACGATGATTATCATCATCATTTCAAAAATATTGCTGCTACTGCTAATTCTGTTACTAATGCTGCTAATAGTACTGCTGCTACTACTGTTAAAACTAATAACAACAGCAACAACAACAACAGCAGCAATGATAATAAAAACAACAACATTAAAAAGATGAAACAAAGTGATTCATTTTCATTAGCAAGGGCCAAATCATTCCTCTATATGTTGAAATTCAACAACTTCAAAAATGTCTTCTCCCCTCCTTCTACAACGACAATAACTACGGCTCCAACAACTGATGCAAGTGCCCTGGTCAACAGCAAAGCTGCCACTTTTGATGAAAGTTCCTCTTATATGGATGGCGAAATTATCAGCAGTGACGTCAACAAAACCAACGATAGCATCCCATCGACATCAACTGCAGACCCCGACATGCCAGCGTCATTAAAGAGACCGGGAATTCATCCATTGAGAAACATCTTGAAAAAGAACAACAGCATCGTGTCTTCCACGTCATTTGCCGACGGAGCTCACACTTTTACACTCATGGATCAGAAGTTTGCTTCTGACGTCGACAACAATAGCAGCTGCAAAATAAGGGCTGGCACTCAGCTAGACAGCAACAATACAACCGGCAGCAACAACAAACTGATCGCACACTCGACGACAACAAACGACAATATTAGTTGCAGCAACAAAACTGCCAGCAAAAACGAAGATCAAGAGACAAATGCAACAGCTTCAGTTGTCAGAAAATCTCGAAGTACCACATCTCCGACCTTTCCAACAAAAATTTTTTCATGTTTTCGTTCTAGATCGACATCGCCAAGAACGTGCCTGAGGAGTAATTTCAACAACCACGACAACAACAACAACAACAACAACGTATGCAACTATCTGGAAAATAATGATCAGCCCTTCAATTATGACCGCAACAACATATCTACACCCAACAAAGCAACACAATTAGAAAGCGATAGCAACACTCATTCATTACTGCAGAAGCCGGAAAAAGCATGCAGTTCTTTATTTAGAACTCGGGTTTTTCCAGGTAGATTTCGAAGGACGGAATCATTTTCATTCCGCATAAGAGCAGACGATTTTTGGATTCGCGATGCCTCCTCGAGATCATCTTTATCACTAATTCAGACTTCAGCCGTCGATGGTGGTGATGATGATGATAATGATGGTGTTGGCGGTGCCGATGATGATGATGGTCTGGGGGAAGAAAAGTTTTCCATGGCAGTCAGTTTTTGTGATGGTCTGGAGATTGAGAATGGTTTCGTGGAGAAGACGAAGAAAGAGTTTGAAGAGAGGGAGAGGTCGGTGGTGATGTTGTAGCTGCTACTGCTACTGCCGCTACTTTTGTTAACGCTATTGTCGTTGCTTCCAATTGTTGATGATACATATGCATTACTAAATATACATTATCATTCTTGAATACTGTTGTCTATAATTTGCTTGTTCGTTGTTGTTGTTTGTTGTTGTTGTTGCTGTTGTTGAAAAGCTTGAAAAACTTTAATTACACAGGTCAGCAATGCCAGCATACAACAACAGATTTAACAATAATAACAACAACAACAACAGTAATAATAATATTAACAACAACTACAACAACAACCCTCTCCCATCATTTTCTTCTCCTCTCTCTTCATCTTCATCATCTCTTCAGAGATCCACCAGTCACAAAATCAAGAGGTTGGCAGCCACCAAAGACCTTGACAACAGCAGAAGGAAAACCTGCCCTCCTTTGGGGAATAATAATAATAATAATAACAACACCAACAACAATAATAATATTAATAATAATAATAATAATATCAATAATGGTAATAATAAGCTTACGTTTTCAAACTTCAATAATTTTTGTGACGTCAAATTGAGCAGTGAGAGGAAATCGTCTTTCGACAAACAGAATGCGACGAATGACGTCAACAATAACAGCATAAAAAAATGTCACGTGGGCTGTGCTACTGCTAGTTATGATGACGTCATGGGTGACATTAAGAAAGATGGCATTAATGAGAAAATGAACAGTAGAAGCCAGAATGGGGGTAACTCAACGGACAAAAAAATCTCATTCCCCGTATATGAAAAGCATTTGAACAGCAGTACATTCCAAAGCGGTGTTGCTCCTAGAAGGTTGAGCAACAACTCAGCACCTGTAGAAACGAAAACATCGACTAAAAATTATGACATTACGACATTGACGTCATCTAGCAGCACTGCAACGACTTCACCACACGACAACCACAACCACAACAGCAGCAGCAACGACGACGACCACACTACAGAACCGAAGCCACACTTGCATACCGTGCGACACATGTCTGTGCCCGACTATGAGGATGTTTGCATTGTTGACAGGGTGGTCTACAAAATTGGATCTGATACTGTTGAAGTTAAGAATGGGATTGTCCTCAAGACGAAACAAGGTCGGTTGGCTGTTTTTGATGTTGTAGCTGGTGTTTGTTGTTCTCATGAGGTTGCTCTTGATTTTGTTCCATTTTTTTCAGAGATTGAATGCATGTCAGCAGCAGCAGCAGCAGTGACTTCACTGTCTTCAAAATCCACAGCCACAACAACTACAATTAAAGTTAACGGCGCTGACAAATTGAAAGACCTCCATAAAACCCACAAACCTACAACACTAACGACAACTACAACCACTACTCTTACATCGTTCAATGATAATTACGAACGAGCCAATCAGAGTGGAGTTATCAATTCAATGGATCCACCGACATCATCTGTGCCAACCAATCAGTGCAAGCGTACTTTAACATTAAGCCAATTGAATGTAGCCAACCATAAAAGGCCTCACTCTTTTAATGTCAAAACCACAATTTCTTCTCCTTACATGACAAAAGTTAAAGACAGCAGCAGCAAGCAAACAGACAACAGCACAAACAGCCACTTAACAAGACTGGCTGTCACACCAGACGTTTCCATGAAATTGTTTTGCGACGATGACATCATAACTCACAAATTCAGAAGAACGTGGTCTCTAAAGAACGTCACCTACAGTCCAGACAACAATCCCAGTCTCTACTGCAGCGAAAACATCAACATCAGTAACGATCACTACGCCAATAACATCAACAAAAATCACGATTACAGTTGTAAGAAAAACTTGAACTTTAATGATGTCACTGATGAGTTATCAACGACAACAACAACAACCGCAACAACAACAACATTTATCGTTACATCAAACGATAACATCAACAAAAACATCAACAGCATTGCAGACAACAACATTAATAACATCCACTTTGATTCTGACAACACCAACATTACGAACAGTTACATAACCAACAAGAACATCTATTGTAATGACATTAACTCTCTAAACATTAACAACAACAACAACGTCATCAACTCTGACGTTGAAGCACCATACAGTAGCAGCAGCAACAACAACAGCAACAACAACAATGACACCAACGATACCAACAACATCAACAGGCTATTCGTTATAAAGAACAAATCACAGCATGAAGACCTACATAGGAAGAAACATTTCACTGCAGTCCTCGAAAAAAGATCAGAAATTTTCCATACCGCCATTTACATTCCTGCAAATAACAACAACTATGACGTCAACAACATCAACAACAACAACAACAAAAAGCTCAACAAAAAGCTCAATGACATCAACTCTCAGGGCAACATTAACGACAACAGTAGCAATCGTATTGATGGCAGTAACATCAATATAAACATCAACACTGCCAATCATTTAAGTAACACCAGTACCAACAGTAACAATGCTCCTTCAATTAGTTGCACATGTACACAAGTGAACAATACTTCTATTGTCTGTACCAGCCAGCCACTGACAACAACAACCACAACAACAACAACCACAACAACAACAACCACAACAACAACAACATAATTTCTAACATCGATAACAACAGCAACGACAATGTCATCAACATCTCAATCTTCAATGACAACTGCTACTACTACAACAGCAGCAACAGCAATAACATCAACTACATCATCTACAACATCATCAACAACAACAACATCAACTCCCTCATCTACAACATCATCAACAACGTTGAAATCCTCTTGAGCCAAGGTTTTAGTCGGTGCTGTTGAGAGATACCATTTGATAAAGCATGAGACATTCTTTCCTCTTCTTAGTGTAATAGTGTAAACCGTTAATACTGTAAATGTTATTACTAATACTAACAATATAAAAAACAGTAATAATTATAATAATGATAATAATAATATTATTATTACTATTATCATTATTATCACCATCATTATTCATCATGTCATATCAGTCAAATAGCCTGGCTTCCAGTTTATTTTACACCTTGAATGGAACACACCTACCCGTGTTCACACACAAACACACATACACCACCACACACATACATCACCACACATACACGCTCATGTACGCACATCTATACTCACTCTCACACGCACACACTCAAATACACACACACTCAAATACACATACACACACACACTCAAATGCACACATACACACATGTTATAACAAACAATGCGAGAATATTTTCAATTAAATTCTCCTATTTGTTAATTTGTTTGTACTACATTTAATTATTTTATTCCGTTAGGTTCACTTTTAAATATTCTTAACAACTAAATATGAATACAAATTTGGATTAACATATTCTAAATAGTTAGTTAATTAAATAGCTAATTAATTAATTAATTAATTAATTAATTAATTAATTAATTAATTAATTGAATAAGTAACGCATTAAACGTGATGCTGATGGTGGTGGCGATACTGAGGATGGTCACAATTTAGAAAAACAATGAACAAGAGAGCTACCATACCAAAAAATACACAAACACACACACAGACACACACACACACATATTATAGAGAATATATAGAATATATATAGGAATGTATACTGTTGTACTGTTGAGCGTGATCCTAAACACACACAGACATTTAAATTGCTGTGTGTGTGTGTGTGCGTGTGTGTGTGTGTGTGAATATGTGTATATGTACGTATAAAGAGTTATCTCTTTTTTTTGTTTTTGCTTCTCCATAGCACAATCTGCGATTAATATTCTCTTCCTTGTTTTTTAACAGTGATGTTTAATCATTTCTAGTATTTAATATGTCATATTTATATGGAAACATGTGTGTATGTGTGTGCGTGGGTGCGCGTGTGTGTAAAGTGTCACTTATAATATGTTAATTGTAGAATATATTATGTAAATTATAGGATATAGTATGTGAATTTAAGAATAGGTAAAGTGTAGAATGACGTTACAAAACTGGGTGATGTTTTCGTGCAGGTTGAAAATAATTTGAGGTGGCAGGTGTAGATGGGATGTAGTTTTTTTTATGAAAGTCTTTTTGGCGATAATCGTCATTGTTTTTCATTTTTTTAAATTATTTTTTATGAAAATCTTAATTATTTCTATCTTGCTATATTTATATTAGCCAGTTTTTTAATTGCAAATTTTTCACAGTTCGATCAATTCGAATGCGTTCGTGCGCGCGCGCGCGTGTGTGTGTATGTATGTATGTATATAGGTATGTAAATGTTGGTAATAGACCACATATACTTGCATTCATACATAAAAAATACATACACACATACATACATACCTATAATTTTTACAAATTCTACCGAATGTTTGGCGTTAATATGTTTGTAGTTCGTTTTTTCGATTTTTCTCACTAAAGTTTTTTGAGAACCAGAGTTAATTTTTACAACGTCAAAGTTCATCTTGACAAAGTCAATATTTCCCTATATATACAGCAAGGAGCACTGATGATGATTCATTTGGTGTTTTTGAATTTTAATAAACTAAACGTTCACCAAAAAACTTTAGTGAGAAAAATCGAAAAAACGAACTACAAACATATTAACGCCAAACATTCGGTAGAATTTATAGAATATTGTAAAATTATAGGTATGTATGTATGTGTGTATGTATTTTTTATGTATGAATGCAAGTATACATCGTTGTATAAATTTTTCAATCAATTCGATTCCATTCTTTATCCTTAAAGTTGTTTATTTTGTTTATTTATTCATTCTGACTATTAATATTATTATTATTTCTTTGTGTTAGGGATTTATTACCTGTATTAATTTTTGTTTTTTTCTTTATTATTATTATTATTATTATGGTTGTTTTTTTTAATTTGGCCAAACAAACTACTCTTTTTTCTATAAGTTTGCCGATATTTATGTAATAATTTAGATGAATTTATGTTTAATTCGTTTAATTATATCATTAGCTAAATAACCTATACACATATGTATGTGTGCGTATATATATACTCTGTGCGCGTGTGTGTGTGTGTGCGTGCGTGTGTGTGCGCGTGTGTTTATGTAGTTTATAAATTTACTAATACATATTTGTGTCACACGTCTACTATGCTTCTGTTGTTTTTCTTGTTTTTCTTGCTTTTTTGGAATTTTCTACATTTTTCTGTTTACACAATTCTTTTTATTATAATTATTTAAAATAATAATAATAATATAATTAATATAATTCTTTTTAATATAATTATATGTATGTGTGTGTGTTTGGGTGTAAATTGTGATTGTAATATACGATGATAATAATAATAATAATTTTTAATAGTAATATACGATGATAATAATAATAATAATAATAATTTTTAATAGTAATAATAATATTTCTTATTATTATTTTATTTTTCACAAATTATTGTTACCATTGCCTATATAGTCTGCATCCATCCTCACATATGATCTGCTGGTATCGTCTATCTATACATGTATGTATAAAATATCTTCTTTGTCTCTCTCTCTTTCTCTCTCTCTCTCTCTCTTTTCCATTTCTATTTCTCTTTCTCTCTCTCTCTAATTTATCTCCAATATTGTTTTACCATTTTATCGTTCATAATGAGTTTCCATTCTTCAATTTTCTTTTAAATTAAATTCTCCGAAACCGCTGTCCAGATTAGCATTAAGCCAATCTTTATTCATTTTCAAGGAACGATGTTTCAATTGCCAACAGACACTCCTGATTATTATTATTATCAATTAATTAATTTTTATTTCATGATTTTTTTAAATTCAAGTGTATGAGATTGAACATAGAGCACGGGTATCCCGTTTATGATGTGTTTCTTTCCACCACAGACAATTACTTACTTTTATTTGCATTTCGTTTTTTAAATGAAAAAATTTATAAAAAAAAAACACCCCAACATGCGTCTGTCAGTTCATCTGAAATGTAGTATATCAAAAAAAGGAGCCACAATCCTTAAAATTTCAACCTCGGGTTGGAAAAATTTGCTATTTATAAGTACATATGCGGCCCTTCAAAGGTAAAATAGTTCTTGATGCGGCCCTCACAGCAAAAAGTTTGCCCACCTCTGTAGTGCATGATAGCATACGACCGCAATCTACGAATTCTTAATTTAAAAGTTTTCAATCCGTCTCTTAATTTTTCTCCAAGTACGTTCTAACTTTGAGGGTACAAATCTTATTTTCAAGTGCATACACACGAACTTTAGCAGTACTATTGCACTAGTTCATTCAATAAGCGGTTGTCATCATTAAAAAGCGTTCTAACTAATATATAAATTGATTAAATGCAAGTTGGTATATACCGTAGGTATGTACAATCATGTTCCAAAAACCATTTCTGCTGATTCATATGTTTCTATATTTTACACGTACACAGACACTGCACCATATCCGTGAGTAAAGTTCAAAGTACTTTCAATGTTTGAATAAAACCGCGTTTGTACGTCGCACATGACATATGAAATGTACGTGGTGTATGTGAAATGCACATCCATCCAAGCCGATTTGTATAAATATCAACATTTATAAAAAGTTCAATTCCTATTTTATTTTATTTAGAAGTTTATTAATTTTATATTTCTCTGAGATTATTGAGAGATGAGTTCAAAGCAGAGGATCGGAGTGTTGGGATGCGGAGTTCTAGGTGATTTTTGATTTCAAAGATTCATTCATCTTTATTTTATTCACCTCCTTCCTTATTTAATTAATTTAATGACTTCTTATAGTTCTTCTGTTTTTGAAGTTTTGACTCTGCCGAATTTTTGACGAAAAGACTAACTACAAAATCCTAACAGGCCAGTTCCTAATAGACAACATGCTGAAGGAGGACTCGTTGGAAGTTATATTCTTGTGGGACATCGACCAGGCGAGGTTGAAAGAACTTTCGACGAAATATCCAAACATTCTTCTACTCGAAAGTCTAGAAAACCTTCAGCAGCTGTGCGTAAATCAATTTAATCATCATTTCGTTTAAAATTTAAGCATTATCAAGTTGAATCCGAATTCACGTTTAAATTCTAACAAATGTTCAATCGTAAATAACCAGGAATATATTTTTCAAGTGTAGTTTTCAGTTTCAATTCAGCAAAATGCGTTGTTTCAATAGAAGCACACAATATATAACGTGTTGATGAGACGCAGTGCATTAAAGATAACAGGACGTATGACGAGTAGTACATACCGCCTGCAAACATACATACAACACAACACATTCGTTGAAAGTAAATAAATTTTTAAATGAGTTGATTTCAAACACGCTTGCTTATGAAACCAACTCATGAGAAGAGCCATACAAATTGAGCAATTCAGCAGTAAACGTTACTAAACAGCTACATACAATAGAAATACAACAAACACTGCAGGGGTCCTGACCTCATTGTTGAAGTCGCCCATCCAGATGTCACTAGGAATTATGGATTTCAAATTTTAGAGATTTGCGATTACTTAGTGAGGTTTCATTTAAACAAATTTGATTTAGTTTTAAATCAGTTCATCTGAAAATTATGAAGCAATTTCACAAAATCCACAACAGATGGGTTCACCGTCAGCTCTAGCAGACGAGCAATTGTACGAAAAGTTATCTTCGGCCACCACTCAACACTCCCTCTACATACCCAGTGGGGCTTTCTGGGGTGGAGAGGACATTCGCAAGATGGCGGATTTGAAGACGTTGGAGAAGTTGAAGGTGACCATGACATTCCATCCCGCTAGCCTCAAGTTGGTTGCAGGAGATGTGAGAGACAAGAATGATAAAGTAACTAACGAAAGAACTATCTTGTACGACGGTTTGTCGTTTGACATCGAACTAGTTGAAACACTAAATCCAAATGATTTATACATTAAATTATTTGGAAATGATCAACAGCCAACAACGAAACAATTTGAGCAGGTCCAGTGAGATGCGTGTGCAAGCAAGCGCCAAACAACGTCAACACCATGGCAGCAGCTGCCATTGCTGGACACAATCTGGGATTTGATGGTGTGTTGGGATGTCTGATCAGCGATCCTAAGTAAGTAACGAGGGTGTTTGTTCACTGTTGAGGAATGAATGATATGTAGTTAGTAAACAACTCGAAAATCATGTGGAAGATCAAACTGTTCATTTTGCTGAACTTGTGTTTTCATGTTTCGACAAGATGTTTTACATGTTTTTTACGCCGATGTTCAACGATTTTAATTAAAACTTGAATTCAATTATAAATATAAACCACAATTAAACAGTCTAGATGACAGACACATCGTGGAGATTGAGGTTTGGGGCAAGCCAGATGTCAGTACGGGTGGGCAGTTCCACGTTCGAACCGTCAGATCCAACCCCGCTCTGTTCGGCCAAGTAACAGGAACCGCCACCTTGCCAGCATTCTTCGGCAGCCTTCTAAGTAAGTTTCAATTTGGTTTAACGCTTAATAACTCTAGCAATAATCTTCACTGAACACGGCGGATCGAATTTAAAACCAATATCAACAACTCATTCCTGATCGCAAATGTCGTATTTTTCCGTACACAATGATTCATTCACGCAAACATAAAAATTGATTAGGAGCCCGTGGAAAGAAGCCAGGAATACATTTGTGTTAGAGAACGATGACAGATGAAACTGACCACCACACGATATTCCAGAACTGCTCGACAATGATGTGCATACACCAACGACGCCAATTTCACAATCATTGTTATCACCTGAAAGTTTACCGACTGTTATTTCTACAGCATTTTATTTTTACATTAAATTAAAAAGATATGCAAGAAAAAAAGTAACCATTTAAAAACTGTTCACTTGCAGGTGAAAATATTTCGTTTTAAAATCATTTTATCACAAAAAACAGCGGAGAAATGATCACCATCACACACATAATAATGATGTCATCAATGTTGTCAATAATATTAAATGCAATAATTTAGTGAGCCTCAAACAACTTGCACTGCCTAAATCCACATCCATCTCATAGAAATTTTATTTAAGAATTATTATACCACAAAAAAAAAATGAAAAAACTTTAATTTTATGTTGTTAGTTAATGGAAATGAAAAAGACCTATCATTCGATCATCCAAGTGATGTATTTTAATTAAATCCATCTGTTTGAAACATTTGAAAAAAATTTAGAATAAAGGCTGATAAAATAAATATACATTTTCGTCTGGGCTTCAAAATGCATATATGCTAACACATTGAATGAAATACGAACAATTGAAAGAAAGATATGCTGTACACTAAAGATCAGTACAAGCCTATCATAATGAAATATATATCAAATTATATCACAATTTTTAACAGAGCACATTCATACTATCACATCATCATCATCGTCGTCATCGTCTTCTTCTTCATCATTTCGCTATCATCTCTTCTTTTCATCGCGATGTTTGTAGATTTCTGCAATTAAAATAATTGCAGAAATATAACATTTACAATAAACAGAATAAAACATTTAGATTTAAGTGGCAAAATATTACCATTATAATTAATTACAATATATATAATATAATAACGATACTAAAATACAATAATTACATTACAGTAAAATAATTACATCATTGTCAGTTACAGCAACGTAAGAACATATCAGGACGTTAATGATTCAGCACACAGAACAAACTTGATTAATTAGCAAATATTAAATCTGTCACACTAGATTTCACTTGTCCTTTTGGCTCTTTTTTTTTGAAGATTCTGATTAGTTTTGCGTTTTGTGGTGACGTTGTCAGCATCTACAATTTGCCTCTTTCGACCTTTGTGGTTAACATCTACGTCTTTGGCAGCAGATCTTCTGACTGACGCTTTAGCAGACAATCTGGCAGATGTTCTAATCGATGAACAAACAGTTGTAGCGGATGTAGTAGCAGTAGTAGCGGAGGCGGTAGTAGCAGTGACAGTAGCAGCAGCTACAGGAGCTGTGGCAGCAGTAGTAGTATTGGAATGTTTGATAGTAAAAATAGAAGCAGCAGTAGTTCTAGAGGAGGACAATGATGATGAAGATGATGACAAAACAAGTGATGATGACGAAGATGATGGTAAAACAGGTAACAATGATGAAAATGACAAAGGCATTGATGATGAAATTGACTTCATAGTTAAAGTCAGGTATGGATGTGATGACCAGAGTCTTGAAGAAGATGATGAAACGGAAACCACAGCAGTCGTAAGAGGAACTGTAGAAGCTGTTGCAGAAGTAAAAGTAATTGTAGAAGAAGAAGAAGGAGTAACATTTGCATGTGAACCAAATGATCCCAAGCCAATTCTATAACTATATACAGGATTGTTTACTGACAAGGACGACGACGATGATGAGGAAGATGATGACGACGATGATGAAGTAGATGATGAGGAAGATGATGACGATGATGATGAAGTAGATAATGAGGTAGATGATGAAGCCGGCGATGAATATAACGACGACTCTGTAGATGACGGAGTCAGATGTCTTGTGGACGATGACGTCATCCCAGATGACGACGGCAACGCTGGTAAGTTTGATTTGTCTGTAAATATGTCATGCAAGTAACAGGATGATCTCATAGCAACCAAGTGCATTGAATGGCGGTATAGTTATTTCACAATCTATCTATATTCCATTTCATATATTATTCAGTAATATAACTTGTAAATAAATAAAACCAACTGCTTGGTTGGGTTGGAGCATGATACATTGAATAAGTTGCACATGATGTTAGCTGTCAAAAATATGGAAAATTGTGGAAAAAAAAACTAACTTAACCAGTTTGAAAAAAATTTCCGCTGGCGTTTCGTTACTGCAGATGAAGAGACAAATGATGACGACGACGACGACGACGATGATATGCTGACCACTGATGATGATGATGACGACGATGTTAATGTAGATTCTCTTGAAGTTAAGGACAATGCAGCTGTAGAAATGATGATGAAAATGTAACTGATGATGGTGATAATAATGATGTAAATAATGATGATTCAAAGGATAATGTTAACAGTGATGTTGTAATGAATGGTGATAAGGATGAAGATGATTGATGCCACCTTGAGATGGAACAGTCAGGGAATCTTCATCTCTATAACCATCCTGGTTATTTGGTTCACCATTCAATTCGGCGTCCAGCTGGAGAGCTAAGGCCACACTTCGCTTGTCTTCGTCGTCATCACAGCTCGGCAACTGCTGAACATCTTCCAGCTGCTGTTTGAGTTGCTGCTTGTATTGTTCGAGCTGTTGTTGATGTTGTTGCTGGAGGAGGAGTTTCTGGCGAGCAGCCTCGTCTTCCTTTCGAAACATTTCCAGCAGGGCAGCACTTTCTTCTTCCTCTTTTTTGCGTTTTGCCTCAAGTTCCTCTTCAATCTGTTGATCAAATTTTAATTTTTATATGGTTCACTTGTTTAATGAAATCATTGAGTAAAAGGGTAATTTTAATTTATGAATGAATTCAATTTAATTTATTTTGCAAAATAAAGCTATGAAGCTGTTGAACTAATTAAAAGTTGAAAGGGCTTAGAGGTGTTTACTGACAGAACAAATTGAAACTTTAAAACAACTTATGTGAATAATAATACTTAAATTCATTGAGCTAACAAATGTTATTAACTGCATTAGCTCTGGAGATGAAATAAATGAAATGAGACATTAGAGAACGAACTCGTCTCAGGTCGTCCAGGTATTCCATACGCAGACTTCCTTCCTCGGACACTACCACTTTTGTTGATCTACTGGTTGCAAGGTCTAAATTGATTACAAACATCAATGAAAGCGGCAACATAACATACAACATCACAATATATATGTATATCATAACAGAACAAACAGTTAACTACTACTAAGTAAAAGTAAATCATGTAGCAATCAATCTCAATATGAATGTAGTAATTTATAACATCATATCACGCAGCATGGTTATTTTGTATATGTTAGTTTCTGAGAGAGGTTTAACATTTTAAAAATTTGAATCAGAAAGAACATTACCGTCGTCACTGTCATCATCAAAATCTCCACTCTGATATTTTTTAACTTTAGCAGGGAACTTTTGTTTGATTTCCTCCCATTTTCCAAAGTTGACAAACTGATCGGCATTGCTGGCCCCGGCGAGCCACACGGTGATGTTTGAGGAACAAAATGGACATTTAACTTGCTCGTTATTGGGGTTCTTAAGAGTTTGGGTTCCAAAAATGTTTGCACAACTTCTTGTTGATCCGTTGTTGAAGATGGTCAACTGAAAGCATCTGAAACACATGTCGTGATTGCACGGAAGAGTAACCGGACGAATCATCACATCCAGACATATCGGACACTCAAAATCCAACTCGCTGTCCATCATCTTCCAAATAATTTTACCAGAAATTCACTAAATCCTTTTAAATTTAGAGAATTTTAAACAAAATATTTAACCAAAACAACTTAGAGCGCGATCTATAAAAGTAAACTTAGGTCTGAATAAGTGAATTTAAAACACGTTCAAAAAGTACATAGAAAAATATTAAGAATAGAGCAGCCTTTGACGTTTGACACTCATAATATTTCATACGAGAAACTTATTAATTGATATATAAATATTAATTGCAAGCGATTATATACCAACCCGAATGCTTCCAAGTCAGGTTTAAATCCTGAATGAGAATTGAACTATAAAACTTGAACTCTAATACTTGGAATTATTAGAATATGTTTTAATTTTGGGAATAAAATAGTAAATAACTGTTTATTTATCTTTAAAAAAACATTTCTGAATGTTTAAAACTTGTTAACTTATATTTAACAACTAGACAACAGTAAAGGAGTAGTTGACTATCGGAAATAAAAATAGCTGTAAAAGTTATCAATTATTGTTTAAACTAAGTAGTTAACTAAAGTTTTAAACCACTTTTTTGGAGTAGTTAACACAGAGCGAATGTACCAGCAGGTGTTAAATGAATGAAAGTTTAATTATTCTCAGGCTGGTTAGGGCGTATCACCAAATAGAAATCTGTTTCTATACTTTGCCATTTTTGTTTTTTTTTCTTTTCACAAGTAAATGTAATGGTCATTTTAACTTTTTTTGGCGTTCGATCGTATTAAGTTTTCTGCATACCTTTCAAAAGATCGAATTGTTGGTCGCCAGTCAGCTTACCAAAACCTTGCCAACCACTCATTTTACTCTTGTGAGAGAAATAAATAAATAAATAGACTAATTTAACTAATTTATTAGAAAATAAAATAAAATAATTCAGTTTCGAATGTTTTCATAAAAAATGAAAAATATTTGGAAAAAATGACAAAACAGAAATCACTGTTTATCTTGCGGGAAGAGGTCGCCTGCCAACGCAACAACATCTTTGCCCAGTTCATTGATCATCAACTCGTTTTCATAGGCTGCTCTCACATCTGTAAAGATGGTCAAAATGTTTTAGTGAAATTTATCAATAAATATGTTACTTTATTATTATTATTATTGTATTATTATTATTATATTATTTAATTTAATAATAATTTTTCACAGAGCTGTATTTAAAGAAGGGCAGGTTCCAGTACCTTCACGAAAATGTGACTGACCTCCACCAGAACGAAACGAAAATGTAACTCTAACATAATTTCAAAAAGCTGGCTTGGATGAAGATATTCATGGGCAAGAAAGCAAAAATAGCAAATTGACGTCTGAAATTATACTAATTAAAGACCTTCAGTAAATCTTTTGAGTCCTCGAAGGGTCATCCAAAAAAATTACAGATCTTTACTAAATAATTTAGGGCCCTCCCCCTTCATTGTTGCCTACACACTTGTAAACTTGACCCTGGATGTCTATCAATTCTATGTTTTTCTAAAAAAAAATGTTATATTTCAAGATTAATACACTTTATAATTTTCAGAAGTGGTCTCAGATACTAAATGCAAATAAAAGTTTGCCTCCCCTTGAAGACGTTTAGATGGATAGAGCAAAGGTTGGAGTCATTATTCAAACGTTGAAGTCATTCCAAGGTTGGAGTCATTCAAAGGTTGAAGTCATTCAAAGGTTGGAGTCATTTAATGCTGTTGTTGCCCTCGCATTGTATCAGAAATATTAAATAAAAAATTTAATTAAAGGAGATTGAATAAATTTTAAACATTAATTGTCCCACCTTCGACGCTCTCTGCATTTTCACTGCTGTCACATGAAACATCTGCTCGGAGAGGAAAATTTTGTTTTATTTTTAAAGTGATTTGTTTCTTTAATAAACTTTACAGAAAATGTTCTTTATAATAATTAATTTAAATTAGAAAAGTTGAATATTAGTTAATGAGAAAAAATTATCATCATTTTTGCGTTAACTTAAAGAGCACGAAACAACCTTTACGAAAGCAAGTAATGACCAAGACTACTACCATAACTACCATCATCTTCTTCATCATCACTTCAGTTGATATTTAGAATTTTTAACAAAAGAATACGGCAGAACCTCCGAATGATCAGCCACGAAATGAAGTGTTGAATGATTATGAAGGGCAGCATTATAAAGAGAGCACCTAGGAAGGTCGTAGATGGCGCCACGCTAATGCGCATCAAATGTCAACTGCCCTTATGATTTATCGTTCAAGTTCAACTGTAAATAATAAAAAATATTCAAATAAATGTCATTTATCATTTGACATAATATGTTTAAAAATCTCATTTATATAGTAAATAAACAAATAAATAATAATTTTTGAGCGCATTAAATTTGTACAAAAAAGGAGAGACAGATTTGAATCGCTTCATGAAGAACGTAAATTAAGATTTTGAAATGCGTACGTGGCGCCGGGGATCAATTAATTTGATGCAGATGAATAAATTTTCTCGTCCCTCCCATCATAGAAACCCGTCCCCGCCAGACGAAATGGCGCTCCACTACAAACAAACAAGCAAGCAAACAAACTCAGCCAATACTGTTCAGTACAATTACGTCCTACATTTGAATGTGGAGATATTTGTCTTCACCGTATAAGACTTGACGATCGAAACAAGAATGAGAATGTTTGCAATTTCGCCGTCATTATTTGGACTGGCTCTCCTCTGTTCTGTGTGCCCCACGCAACTTGGTCAGTGTAATAAGTTGTTTCGCTAAATCTCATCAATCATTTGTCATTGGAGTAATGAAACTTAATTGTGCACTTAATTTATTATTGCTAAAGTATTGTTAATGAGTAAAAATATGTCCTGATCAATTTCATGGTTTTCTTAAAATATTTCATTCATTGACTGACAATTCTCATCTTAACTCACCAACCTCTGCAAGAAGAGCCTGCAGTTGAAACAAATGCAGATGCAGCAGATGCAGCAGTAGCAGATGAAACAGCAGCAACAGACGCAACAGCAACAACAGCAGACGTAGCAGCAGCAGATGAAGCAACAGTAGCAGCCTCTGCCATCAAAAAAGACATCGCGATCAACAACAGAAAGCAGGAGCTTGCAGACCAGGCAGCCAAACTTGTCGCCACCAAAGCAGAACTCAACCGACAAAAACTGAAAATCATCAATGAGCAGTTGATGATAAACTTGAACGAGACGAGCCTGATGCAAGAAGCTTACGAGATGGCCACAAACCTTGGCGACTCTGACGACGCCACGCGACATCCCGAGGTGGAAAGTGCCCTAGAAATAATGAAGGGTCAGTTGGATGTGTTGGAGAAGGAGAGAGAGAAGTTGAATGAGGAGCTGCAGATGAACCTGCTACAGAAAAAGCAGTTGGAGCAAGTTCTCATGGTTGATCAGGTGGTCTCCAAAGTTTTAGACAAGCAGGAGGAAGATCTGAAAGGAATGATCAGCGAAAAATAATTACATTCGAAATTTAATTAACGTTCATGATTAAATTGAACGAATTTTAAAATGACATAACTCAGTAATAAAATCAATTTATTTCTACGTAAACTCTATCTAATGAATAAACAAATTACACAACACACACACACACGCAAATTTGAATATACAATAAATATAATTACTTGTTTATTTATTCATAAACTTAATTTATGAGCATACGAAGGTATAACAAACATCACACATGTTCGTGTCACACGCATTGGTATGCAAACAAAACATCATGTATGCATGTATCTATATCTATGTATGTATCTATATATCCATGTATGCATCTATATCTATGTATGTATCTATATATCCATGTATGTATCTTTATCTATGTATGTATCTATATATCAATGTATATATCTATATCTATGTATGTACCTATCCACTCGTTTGTATATGTATATTGTATATTCATCTGCAAAACAATACAATACAAATTATAAATACGTTAGAATATGTTGAAACGTAAATGCATGTCCACAATGTATATACATATACATAATCTAAAGATGTATATATATATATCTTGATATGTATCTTTCTCACTTTTCTTTCTCTCTCTCTCTCTCTCTCTCTCTCTATATATATATATATATATATATATATATATGTTTATGTTTATGTATATGTATTAATATATAATATATGTATATATATATATATATATAGGCACTTGAGATAAAACATTAATAAGCATCGCGGTCTTGTCAACAGCAATAATTTATTTTCTATATAATTTTTTTTGATGGAATAATAATAATATAGTAATAATAATATAATAATAATAATAATGATAATAATAATAACAATAATAATAGAGTAATAATAATAATAATAATAATTTTCGTGTATGTAAGTACGCGCAAACGCGTTCCGTCTTAGTATTCGAAGGCCCTTCTGGTTCGATGGAATCGTTCTCATAACTATAATAATAATAATAATAATTAATAATAATAATATAATTTATAATAAAAATAATAATAACCACTGGAATGACGGGAGAGTACTTTAAATAATTTTAATAATTAATAAGTAGATTAATAGAAATGATTTTATATTAAGTAACAAAACAACAATAACAATAATAATAATAATACAACAACAAAAACCAAACAATAATAGTAATGAACCAACTATAACAAAAACAAACAAACTAACGACAATCATAACAAAGAAAGACAAACGAAACTGCGAATTGATAATGAAAAAATTATAGCCAACAACATCAACAACCACATCTACAACAACAACATCAACAACAATGACATCACCAACACTAACAATACAACTTCTGTAACAACGGCACCAACAGCTGAAACGTCGTTAATAACCAGCAACATATTAGCGCCTGTCGAAAACATCCATCTCATTAGCAATATATAAATCCCAAAACCATCAACAACAACAACCAAACAACAATAACAACAATAGCAGTCACGTTAATAGTAACAACAACAACAATAACAACTATAATCTCATCAACAAAAAAATACTAACTGATGATTAATAATCATACAAAGGCAAATTCATTAGCAAATCAATAATAAAAAATCATCCTCATTGTCGTTGTTGTCATTCTAGTTATCATCACTACCATCACTATTATCACTGCCATGTTTTTCTGTGACGTCACGCGCACAAACATACAAACACACATATATACACACAGACACTCACATACACAGACACTCACTTACACACACACACACACACACACACACACGCACACACACACATACACATACACACACGCATACGGCCTCATAGAGGAATGCATTAAAAGTTATTTTAAAATATTCTTGCTACAATGTTAATAATTCATGGCGACTCGATATTCTAATAACGAAAGTAACATAAACAACAACAACAACAACGACAACAACAACGACAACAAAATAGCATAATAGAAACAGTGAGACTCTGATATCCATAAACATTGGTAGAGTAAGAATTAAAATAATAAAAAAATATCGCCAATAATATTCATCTTATTGCAAATAATTTCTGTCCAAATATTCAACAAAAACAACAACAACAACAATCCAACAACAACAACAATAAATGTCGTCATCGACGTTGAAAATTGAACTAAACAACGCCATCAGATAAGCAATGAAACATCAACGACATTGGCAACAAAATTAAACAACAACAATTATAACACCAATAAAATAACAATAATAACAATAATAATAGCAATAACAATAACAACAACAGTGAATAGCGACATAATTAAATAGCAACGACAACAATAACAACAATAATAAAAGCAACAACAATAACAATAATAATAATAATAATAATAAAAACAAAATGGCCCAGCAGTACCCAAACATCCAGGGTTTGGTGCAAGAGAGGTTGTTTCCACTCATGCAGCAAGTCGTCGGATTCCTTGGCATCGAGTTTGTACATTGTGCTGATGATGATGATGGAGATGATGAGGACGATGACGATGATAATGATGATGATGGTGGTGGTAGTGATGATAACGACGATGATGATGACGATGATTATGGTGACGACGACGATGATGACGATGGTGATGATGGTGGTGGTGATAATGATGATGACGATGAAGATGTGATTGGTGATGATGATGGTAATGGTGATGACGACGATGATGATGATGGTCATGGAGATGATGATGTTTTTGGTGCTGCTGCTGATGATAATGATAATGACGATGGTGACGTTATTATGGTGATGACGATGATGACTCCACACTGTTTCGCGCCATTACAAGAAATATATTGGGCTCTCCCGCCATTTTACAACAACGCATTAACCGCCGAGGTATAAACATATTTCTCCCAGCCTACGCTACAAAACGTCTTAAATTATTTATTATCTTTTTTTTTTACCTTTTACCTATTCAATGTCATCGTCATCAATTACGTCATCATTACTTTATCATCGTCGTCATCATCATCGCCATCATCGTCATCATCAAACAACCACAACAAACAAACAAAAACAAACAAGCAAAAACAAGCAAACGAACAAAAACAAGCAAACGAACGAGCAAAACCAGAAGACAAAAACTTATTAAAAATGTAAATTGAACTGGATTTTTGAAAGATGTTCAGTGTTACCAGAATGGACAGCTACATGCCATAGAACATTATTCAAAACTGCCTAAACAGCATAGATAACAAAGTGTAAACAATTCACACAAAGACATCAAAATGTAAACAATGTATACATAGAAATCGAAATATGGACAGTTTATACATAGATATCAAAGTGTAAACAAAAAATAAACAAAGATTCGTAAATAAAAAAAAACTAGAGCTAGCAAAACTCGTACGCAAAGACAACGAACTGTCGAAATCGAGGCATAGAAAAAAAAACTGCAGACAACATGCATAGAAAGTCGACAAAAACAGACCAGCGTAGACAAAAAAATTGTCTCAATTTCACCCATGTAATGATCAAATAAACATGACTTTGTAAATAATTTGGGTATTCCAAATTTGCGTAAAGATTGGAAAATAAAAGAACAATCATAAAAAAAGCAATAACAACATCAGGAAGGGCAACAACTACAACAACAGCAACAACAACAACTCCCACAACAGCAACTATAACTACAACAACAGCAACTACAACAACAAAACAACAACTACAATACAACAACTACAACAACAACAACAACTACAACATCGTCGTACACCAGTGTAACATTCATCTGGAGTTTAATACCATTCTTTTAAATCTGCATAATATTCCCAGGGCAATTTCACCATCATTGTCGTTGTCATCATCATCGTCATCATTATCGTCATTATCTTTTTCATCATCATTATCATCATCTTCATCGTCATCATCATCATCATCATCACTTTTTTATTGCAACCGACGTCATAATCATCCTAATTTTTATTACAATTTTATTTCTCTTTCCTCTTACTTCATCATTATCAGCACAATCCTTGCCAACATCATCATCATCATTACCATCACGGCTATCATCATTACCATCACGGTCATCATCATTATCATCATCATTATCATCATCATCATTATCATCATCTTCCACATCATCATCATCATCATCATCATCATCATCAAAGCTACTCATCTTATCGTAATCAAAATCGTTATCATTATTATCGTAATCTAAATTATGGTATCACCACGATCATTGTCACCCTTACCACAATTACCATCACCACCACCACCAACATATCATCATTATCATCATTATCATCATAATCCTCATCATTATCATCATCATCAGTATCATTATCAGGAAGGAGCACAATGCATAAAGCAAATGACATTTGACTTCTTGCATAGCATGGACAACATTATCCTACAGTCAGTCGCATTAAGATGAATGTATAAGATATGTATGTATGCATGCATGCATGCATACATACATACATACATACATACATACATACATACATACATACATACATACATACATACATACATACATACATACATACATACATACATACATACATACATAATTTTTATGTACTTTTTGTAACTACAAAATGTATATATATATATATATATAATGTTAATATATGTATATTAATAAAACTATATATATAGTTATATATACATGTTTGTGTACGTGTGAGTGTGTAAGTGTGCATATGTTGGTTTGTGTGTCAAAATTTTCACAGTTTTGAACAATAAATCATTGATGGTTTATCCTATATTTACAAAAATTTATCCTATCGATATTTAGGGCAATCCCGTCAATTTGTGTGTGTGTATGTGTGTCATGTGTGTGTGTATGTATATGTGTTTGTATGTGTGTGTGTTTGTATGCACGCGTGTGTGTGTGCATTATTGGAAGCAAATAAACGTCAATTTTCATTATGAAAGCCCCCTACAAATATTCGCATTCATCTGCAGATAATTACAAATATTTACCATTGTTTACATCATCACCTCCATCGTCATCATCATCATTATTACCATCATCATCGTCGTCGTCATCATCATCATCGTCGTCGTCATCATCATCATCATCACGAAATGTTGTTGTTGTTGTTGTTGTTGCAGCCAAGCGTTGCCCAATTGGATCGAGTGTTTCTACCTACGTATGCATGCTTCTGATGATGACCACAATGGCGATGATGATGGTGGTGGTGATAGTGATGGTGATAGTGATGATGATGATGATAGTGATAGTAATGACATGATGATGATGAAAGTGATGGTGATGATGATCGTAATAGTCGTAATAGTGTTAGTGAAGAAGATGATGATGAATGTCACATAAAAAAAAATTGTAGTTGATAATGTTTATGATGTTGTTAATGATGTCATCATCATCATTATCACCATCATCATGATGATCGTCATCATCACCATCACTATCATCATCATCACCATCATTATCATCATCATCGTCATCGCATAATTTAGAATTCCGGCGGAGGAGACAAATAACGTCAGAAATGACACCGGTTCAGTTTCTGGAGCGTTCGGAGAGGTGGGTACGATGTGACTGTAATGTTGATGATGATAACGATGAAGATGACGAGGAATTTTGATGACGATGGTGATGGTGATGGTAATGATGATAATGTTGTTGATAATGATGACGATGACGATGATGGTGGTGATGATGACGATGACGACGATGATGATGATGGTGATGACGATGGTGGTGATGATGATAATGATGATGGTGGTGATGACGATGATCATGATGACGATGATGATAATGGTGATGATGATGATGATGATAATGGGGATGATGTTCAAGTGGAAAAAGTTTAAAAAACGGAAATGGAAAAAGTGAAAATGGAAAATAGAAAAAAATGCAATAATTTTTTTATGTTGGGTCTTATGATAAGAATCAACAACATTATAAATATTCAACAACAAAAACAACATAAACAACAATATCATCAACAGCAAGACACATCAACACACAACAACACTCAACAACAACAAATACTATTACTACCACTACTACAATGACGTCATAAAACAATGACGCCTAAGACGTTTTAATCGCCGTAAAAACAAAACTCAACATGATGTTGCCGAAATCATCCCCACACAATTCCACAGAAAAAGTTTCAAAACAATTTTAAAATTGTTGTAATATTCTTATGAGGAGTGAAACATTAAATAACGAAACTAATAAAAAATATTATTATTTATAATAGAAACTCTTTAATTAACCAATTAAAATGAAATATTATATAAATAAAGTTTTCAGTTACTAACGCTCTCGACATTCACAAACAACTACAGAGATGATGAAATCATGCAAAACCAATCAAGTTTTTATTTCTGTTACAACAAATTTGTTAAACTATACGCTGAAAGATCTGTCTGGAATAAATTAATTGGTGATAATTTAGAAGAATTTACTTGTAGAAGGCATTGGTTGGTTTTCTCTACATGGAAAACTGAATTTGACAATTGTTATATTGTTTATTTCTTTGTGAATTTAAATAAGATTTTTGGTAGTTTTATAGTTTGTTTTGGCCAGGGTATAATGCCCGTAAACTTGCTGTGGTTCTTTATTTATCGTATCAGGATTTCTTACGGTTAGGAATATGGAAATGTCGTATGAAAGATGTGTGGCTGAGGTGGCTGAAGTGGTTGTGGTTGGGGGTTGAAGTTGAAGTTGAGGTTGAACTATATATAGTTTCGAGGCTTTCTTAGTTGAGGTAAGATTGTTGAGTAATGTTGAAATTACTGAATAACGTTGAAATTGCTCATAGGTGTCAAAATTGCTGATGTGATTGATGTTGATGTGACTGTTGTTATTATTATTATTGTTATTATTATTATTATTGTTGTTGTTGTTGTTGTGGTAGCCAACAATTGTGATGTTATGAATGTTGTCGCAACAGGCATACACGCCACAGTTAAGAGCCAGAAGTAATTAGGCCCATTCTATGGCGTGTTGCCACGCATTAAACTCAGCCTATTTCTGTTTCTAAAATGCTTATAAACACGAGCCAACATTAGCTCAATAGTGTACATTCACACAAACCACACACACACACACACACACACACACACACACACACACGCACAAACCCCACACGCACACACACACGCACAAATCCTACACACACACAAAGAGATAGGGATAAACGGATAGACACACACACACACACATACACATCCACACACACGTGTACAAACCTGCATTTTCTTCTTCAAGATATTTTTTACATAATTTGCATGTATATTTTTAAGTCCATACCATCTGTATTCATTTGTGAATATATTCATGTATTTAGACGTGTGTGTGCGTGTGTGTGTGTGTGTCTGTCTGTGTGTGTGCATGCATGCACTCTGGTGAAAGCAGTGCATTGTTTTATTGCATAATAAGTCCCGCACAGCCTAATATTGCATTCATTCATTCGTTCTTTATCTTGATTCCATCCATCTTTCCATTCGTTGCTCTGTCCGCTAATATGATGTTTTTGTGGTTTTTTTGATAATTTTCTTGTCTATGTTTGTTGAATTTGTATCTGTATGTTTATAATTGCGTATTGATATATGCTGGCTTTCAATGTTCTTGCTCATTGTTGTTGTTGTTTTTGCAGGGTTGTCGTCTTCATTCTGTTTGCCAGATCAATATGAATCGGTTGTTTTTTTAATTTAGAGAACAGCCATTGCCTGCCTCGTCTGTGTGTGTCTGACTCACGGGCGTTCCATACATCCTTTCATCTTCCTATCTCCTATCTTTTGGCCATATTTCTAATTTTGAGACAAACTTCTACATTTTTGTTTGTTCATTCTCAACTATTATTAACAACTAACCGATCAAAACCAACTAGCCAATCTCAACCAACCAATCGCATCCAACCAACTAATCACACCAAACTATTCATAACTAACCAATCATATCTTACCAGTTAATTACAACCAACCAATCAACACGCAGACCCATCGACCCAGCCTGCCACAGACCGCATGCAGTGCCCCCAATACAACCACCTCGACACCGACGGCCAAGTACCAGCAATATCACTCCAGCACACCGTCCTCCAGCATAACGCCCCTCTCCTCCCATCACCATCTCACTCGCCACTCACCATCTCTCTCTTCGTCAGCCTCTTGCGCGCCAAACACCGACAATCCCGACGACGATCCATTGATGACGTCATCAACAAACGATGACGTCCCAGATGAAAACAACGACAAACTTGGCGTCCTACATTTCAGCGTGGCCTACAGTTCAAAAGATTCGACCTTGACGTTGAAAATTTTAAGGGCAAATGACCTCGTAGCCAAGGACATGTCGGGAACCAGTGACCCCTACGTTAAAATCTTGTTACTGCCTGATAAGAAGCAGAAGTTGGTGACGAAAATTAAGAGGAAGAACTTAAATCCGAGGTGGAATGAGACGTTTGCGTTCGAAGGTTGGAAGTGTTGATGCTGTTGTTGTTGCTGTTGTTGTTGCTGTTGTTGCTGCTGTTGTTGTTGCTGTTGTTGCTGTTGTCTTGCTCTGTTGTTGTAGCCGCTGTGTGCACAGTTGTGGGGCTGATGAAGATGATGATGATGATGATGAGATGTTGTTGTGTTACTGTTGCAGTTGTATCTGTTTCTTGTTGTAAATTTTACTGCAAGGCTGTGATGGTGATGATTGTGACTGTGATAATGGTGGTCATGATGATGGTGTTTATTTTATTTATGAAGATTTCGTTGGTGCTGTTTCTGTAATTGGTTTGTGGTTGATTTCGTTTTCAAATTAATTTTGCTGGTGTCATTATGTTATGACCGCAATTTTGTCCTTAATGTGTTTAATGTCATTTACGCTGTTGTTGTTGTTGTTGCTGTTGTTGTTGTTGTAACGGAGTTGTTATTTATGTTTTAGTTGTTGTTGTTGTGATGGTGGTTGGTAACGTTGTTGTTGTTGGGGCTGTTGTTGTTGTTGTAATGGAGTTGTTATTTACGTTTTAGTTGTTGTTGTTGTGTTTTTTTGGTTGGGCAGCTGTCGGAACGATTGTTTGTGTCGTTGGAATAGCTATTAATGTCATCAATCTTTTCTCTCCTGCTTCATATTATTTTTTTTTTCAATCATTATAATTATTGTAATCTATCATCAGCGCGATCATCATCAGCATCACCGTCATCGTCGTCATCATCATCGTCATCACCATTTAGGATTTCCGTACACGAAGCTCGTGAATCGCACCCTCTACCTTCAGGTCCTCGACTACGACAGATTCAGCCGGGATGATCCCATCGGCGAACTCTGCATCCCCCTGGCCGACCTTGACCTTTCGAAAGTTCAAACCTTCTCGAGGTCACTGCAACCTTGCAAAAGTTCTGTTGTGAGTTTTGATGATGATGGTGATGATGATGAAAATGAGTAGGACGATGATGAGAATGATGAGGATGATGATAATGATGATGACCGCGATGAAGATGATAATGACGTTTATTGCAAATGACGTCAATAAAGAAGACATCGCTGAAAATTAATATGAATAGCATCAATATCCAGAGACAGCAGCAGTGACTTCAGCGCGGATGAATATGATGGAGAGGACGAACGTTGATGTAAAAATGAACTTCCATCGCCCCTGGATGGCGCCATCGTTGTTCGTTGTTCACTTTTTGGATTCCGAAATGCGTTCATATTTTAATGGCCACCTACTTGCAAAACTCAAGAAGATTTTGAATAAAAGAGAAATAAAGAGAGATATATATAAAGAGAGAGAGAAAAAAATATAAAGAGAGAGAGAGAGAATGATATATGAAAAGTATTGAAAGAAATTACCCCTTAAGCAGTTAAAGAGTTGAAATACAAAATTTCCAAAGTGGAATACAGATGAAAGGAGAAAACAACAACAAAATGGAAAAGATACAAAAAAGATAGTGAAAAAGTGAGAGTGAACGAGAGAGAGAGAGAGAGAGAGAGAGAGAGATGTTGATGGAGGAAAGAGTGAGAAAATTATGTTTGCGCGTATGACGTTATTTATCGCTTGAGCGTAATAAATAAGTTTGTTTGTTTGTGCAGTTGCAGGTCAACAAGAGAGGGTCCTCACCAAAGTGTAGGCGGTTGATGTGCGTGTCATATTTGCGTATCGAAGTATGCGTACAAGTGCGTACATGCGTATGTGTATCTTAGTGTACGTACAACGAATTCGATGATTGCTTGCATTTCTTCAATGTATGTATATGTCAACACAGTATCAAGTTACACCTTGCGTACCTATATTACGCATATATGGATACACATTAGAATTGTACGTGTGTATGTGTGTGTACGTGTGTGTGTATTTACGAGTGTGTGTGCGTACGTATTTGCGCTGTCAATAATGCGGCTGTCATTAACTTTCCATTGAAGTGGAAAACTTCCCTAAGAGTGTTCAGTTGAGTGTGTAACAGAAAAAAAATTGATTTAATTAAAACTGTAAATATTTGATCGTGGTTTTTAAGATGAGATAAGATGCTAGATGTGTGTCTGTTTTTGTCCGTGTCTGTTTGTTTCTCTGTGTGTGTGCGTGTGTCTGTGTGTGTGCGTGCGTGTGTGCGTGTGTCTATATAAACATTCATCTATGTTTACGTGTAATATGTGTTGGCAACTATTTAGTTTGTGTGTGGTTTGTTGATATATATGTATCTTTACATGTATGCACGTGCGTGTGCGTGTGTATGTGTGCGTGTGTCCGTTTCAAAAAAGTTATTTATGGTCACATTCTGATGGGTTTATCAATCATATATATCTAGGAAGATTAATGATGATGGTGATGATGATCAATGACGATGGTGATTATGATTATTTGTACGTATCTGTGTGCGTGTGTGTGTGTTTTCATGTGCGTGTGTGCGTGTGTCTGTGTGTGTGTCGGGCGTCATTGATGGCAGGATGAAGTCATGTCAAGTTGGTCTGTGAGTTTCACCATAGAAGGTGATTGATGCAAAGTTAGATATTTTTTTAAGAAAATTCAATGATGATGGTGATGATGAAATGGTGATGATGATGATGACGAGATGATGTGGTGATGATGATAGTGATTATGGTGATGATGATTTTTTTGGTGTTATTGTAATTGTTATAATTGAATAAAATGTGATGGAAATGATGATGACGACGATGAGAATGACGATGATGAAGAAGATGATGATGGCGATGATGAAGAAGATGATGATGAAGATGAAGAAGAAGATGATGATGACGATGAAGAAGAAGATGATGATGATGACGGTGACGATGAAGAAGAAGATGATGATGACGATGATGACGATGAAGAAGAAGATGATGATGACGATGAAGAAGAAGATGATGATGATGACGGTGAAGATGAAGAAGAAGATGATGATGACGATGATGACGATGAAGAAGAAGATGATGATGACGATGAAGAAGAAGATGATGATGATGACGGTGAAGATGAAGAAGAAGATGATGATGACGATGATGACGATGAAGAAGAAGATGATGATGATGACGGTGACGATGATGATGACTGTTGCATGCTCTTTCCAATGTGGATTGTTCGAACTATGTTGATGTTATCTCTATCTCTTGTTTACGACGATGATGTCTGTGTTGTTGTGGTTGCTGTTGTTGTTGTTGTTGTTGTTGTTGAGAATGGTGATGACGATGACGACGATGATGATATTGTTGTTGATGATAATAATGGTGACGATGATAATGATGATGATGACGAAGATGAAGACGGATATCATCATTGATGTACCCAATAAAATGATTCACGACGCAAATATGGCAAATCGAAAAATAATAAAAAAATTTTTTATTCCCCTAGAATATTAATAATTAATTGCAATTTTTCTCCGATAGTTAAAAATAAAAATAATAATAATAATAACTTTTTTATTTAAATCATATATATTTTTTCTATAATTTTATTTCAAAACACGTGCTAGCATTCCGTTTGGTGCGCTGGCTTAAGAACTTTACTTAAGAACAAGCTGTTCAAATACAAGTCTGCGTGTGTTTGTGCGTGCGTGTGTGCCTTCGTGTGTGTGTGCCTTCGTGCGTGCGTGCGTACGTGAGAAATGATGCAACAGAGGTAGAATGCAACAGTACAGTAAGTATGATGGCTGCCAGATAGAGGAAGATGATACTAAATAGCATTCCATTACTCTATCTTAACCAGCCAATTCTAATTTACCTAGAGAGCTTTTAAAGTTTTTCTTCTACAAATACAAATAAATAAAAATCCGCATTTAAAAATAAGCTCAAAAAAACTTATTGTTAAATACGGAGCCGCAGAAAAACACACATACACACACATGTACATATATACACATACACACATACATAAAAGTTAGAAAGAGACCATATTTTATACAGTATTGTATATACTGTACATATATAAAAGTATACACGCATACGTGCACATTTACACACACACATACACACACATACATATATACATACATCTATATACACAGATACGTGCGTATATATATACGCAAATCAAAGCCTAGATACATTTTTCTTCTTTGTACACAAAACATGACGTTGAATATTTTAAAAAACAACTGAAATATTAGTTTTTTAGAATAAACTCGATATTCGTCATCAAAATTCAAAATTACTTGCAACCTTATCTCTCTCTTTCTCTCTCTCTCTCTCTCTCTCTCTTTCTCTTTCTCTTTCTTTTCCTTTTTTTCATTTCTCTCTCTCTCTCTCTCTCTTTCTCTTTCTCTCTCTCTATCTTTCTCTTTTTATTATACAATAAAAGTTCTGAATAAAACGGTTTTAGTCAACAAAAATGGTTATTAAGTTGATAAGAAACCCCTAACGATAGCAATCACATCTGATAAGCATTTAAAATAAATTCAGTGATAATAACTTTATGAAATAAATGCAGGATGGTCCCTCTGTAAAGTAAATGTTTGATGGATTTCGGCGTCGAAATTGAAAAATTTCAGTTTGGAACGGAAGATGAATGCATTGCGGTTAAATCATAAACCTGGGAGTACTTGAAATAAAATGGATTGTATGTATGTGTTTGTTTGTTTGTTTGTATCTTTGTTTGTTTGTATGTTTGCATGGTCGTTTGTTTGAGTGTTTGTTTGTATGCATAAATGTATGTTTGTGTGTGTTTGCTGGTGTGTGTTTGTTTGTGTATTTGTGTGTTTTTGTGTATATTGTTTTTGAATTATTCTATGTCCGAGTGTTTTCACGTTTGTACGCTGTTTGTGTGATTGTCCTGGGGGTATATGTGTATGTGTGTGTGTATTTGTGTGTGTATGTGTGTGTATGTGTGTGTATGTATATATATTATTGTAAGCTTGTTTTCCGTGTAAGAAACAGCATGCATATGTAAATAAGGTTAAAGACATTCATAAATATCGCACTGGAATATTCCTCGTCTATCAGTTGCTAATTAACTTGCCTCGATACACGCATACACACATACATAATACCTACACACACATGCACACACGTTTATACACGCACACACACACACACATATTAATCTTATCAACAGCTGCAATATGATTTTCGTTTTGTCAATTTCTATGTAAATTCCAAAAGTAGAAATATATACGATCATATATTAATCTCTGTTAGATACAAATATTTACACACACACCACACGCAAAAACACACATACACACACATACACACATGCACACAAACACACACATCACACATATACAAACACACATACACACACAAACAGCAGATGAAGTGAATTTATTTGAAGATGAGCAAAAAACCTAATGATGACCATATTGCACTTAAAAGCAAGCAAAACGCGTTTTTTTTGTCGTGTTTCATGTATACACGAGACAACATGATACTACACAACACACACACGCACACACGCACACACACACACGCACGCACACACAAACGGAAGTCAATTTACAAGTACAAACACATAAACATGAATTTTTTATCAGCACTGAACGTGTTAAAAATATTAAACAAAAAAAACACACTGGCAAACACACAAACCCTCTTACACACACACACAAACAAACATACGCCCACATACAGACACACACAACAGCACACTAACCAACCAGCCAACAGCCCCGCAAATGAAATTGCATTGGTACAGGCATCCGAACATACATGAAGAGCAATTATAACTTCGCATTTTGTTTGTATATATGGGCGTATTTATCGTTGCGTGCGTGTATGTGTGTGTGCGTGCGTGCGCGTGTGCGTGTAGACGTGTACAAAAAACGTTTAAACGCACGTACACATTTTTTGGCGTGTGTGTGGCGTGTGTGAGTGAGCGAGTGTGGTGTGTACGAAAATTCCAAGAAACATCACTCTCACATGCATACATACATATATTTGTAGCAGCAACATTACTTTGCATGTGTGCACATGTGACGATGCGAAGGAACCGCAGACGAAATGTCGCTTACAATCTCTACGCCAACATTCGCTAGCGAGCATACCGACTGCACCATCAATAATATGCACATTTCTACAATAAAATATCAATTACATTCTAAATCACACGCATTCCATGTAGTGCGGTGCACGTATGAGAGCAAGCCTTCGTACATGAATGTTACAAGTTTATGTAGGCCACTTACAATCCATAATACAATTGTACAGACGATCTTGGATACAATTTGTACATACAATCTATAGAATACAAATGTGCATATATCTTAATACAAATGTACATACAAACTTAATACAAATATACATACAAACTTAAAAACAATTGTACATGCAATCTTTGATACAAATGTACAAACAATTTTGATACAAAGCACATAAAATTTTTTATACAACTGTACATACAGTCTTTCATACAAATGTATATACAATTTCAATACAATTGTACAAACAATCTTTGATACAAATGTACAGACAATATTGAATGCAAATTAGAGACGCACCGTATATCTGGCTTTGGCCTCAGTCATTTTAAAAGGCCGAATAGACAAAAGATGCAACTTTCGATTAAGGCGTTACTTTTTTGTCCTTTCAAGACAGTAACTGGCGAAAAATTTATATTGAACAGTTAATAATGAAAAATTTATATTGGAGATCACAATTGCTAAAACATCTGAATTTAATCAAAAGGTTGATTATCACCTCGATAAACATTTGCCGAATAGAAGTTAAATTGCCTACTTCTTTTTCAATAGACCGTTTTTATTCTAAAAAATACAATTTTGTTAAAAATTGTGGGTTTTTTGGCATTCGATCTTCTGCATCGGCAGAATAGGAAGATGAACTACTCAGCTATTCGGCTTTCTTCCAAGTACACAACACTCTTCAATGCTCCCATTTTACTCTCAAAAACAAAAAAACCATTTATACACAAATACGATCGTTAAATAAGCAGATATTCAGATACAACTACAAACAATAATGAAAGAATACTCAAACATATGCATGCATGCGTACATGGATGGATGCATGGATGCATACATACATGCATGACGCAGACAATGTGTATATACACATACACATACAAACCTGGCCACAATTTTGCATATTCGACCAATGTTATTTTTTTGGCTCCTCGCTTGTATGCATATGTATACATTTGAACGTCTGTGTGCACAACTGTACAATTGTTTGTCTTTCTGAATGTATGTTTGTAGGTCTGTGTATGTTTGTATTTTGTATTCATTTGGTTTGTATGTGTTTATGCTCATATATTTATGTACTTATGTCATAAAATCAAATCATATAAACGCCTTCAAAGATTTTCATATAATGATATATATATATATATATATTTATATAAATATACATATGGACATGTATACATATGCATATAATGTACTAATGTACAGGCATAATGGTATTGGTATTTTTGTATGTATTTGTATTTTTGTTTGTATCAATATTTGTATCTCCGTTATTTATTCTCTGAACCCATAAAAAAATGAACTATGTTTTGCTTGGATAGGACTTTTACTGCCCATGGCTCTATTTGCGCGCGCGCGTGTGTGTGTGCGTGTGTGTGTGCGTGTGTGTGTGTGTATGTCTGCGCGATCTGTTGCCTGATGTATCGGCTCCTATGCGTAAAACATTCATTATGCGTTAGTACTGTTATTGTTTATGCGTGCGTGCGTGCGTGTGTGTTTTGTCTAGTGCGTGTGTGAGAGTTCTGAGTTTTTTTTGTTTGTTTAACTGTTTTGCTGTTGTTTCGCTATATGTTGTTTGTTTATTGTTGTATATTAGTGCATGTAAGTGTCGGTTGTTTTGTTGTTACGTATAAGTCTGCATGTATGATGTTGTTACTTTCACATTCTATGTTTCTTGGATGTGATTTTATAAATGGTTTTATGGGATCATTTTTCATTTCAGTGGCGTTTCCACGCCTGGCGTCCAATTTCCATTGTGTTGGATGCCTACAAGCGTTGTTATACACATGTGTGAATTGTTTATACGTGTGTGAATTGTTTATACGTGTGTGAATTGTTTATACGTGTGTGAATTGTTTATACGTGTGTGAATTTCTCGTGCGTGTTTGTTGAGTCAGATTTCTAAGCAATTGGTTCAATACAAAACATTGATATTAATACATACATAATGTTGTTTGTTTATAATATGAGCGATAAAAATACAGTCTATAAAAAATTTGTGTATATAGGTCGCTTAAACGTTCTGGTTTATACCTATGTGTTTATATCTTCGCTTAAACGTTCTGGTTTATACCTATGTGTTTATATCTTTGCTCGTCTTAGCACATGATTTTTAGTATTTCATATCTTTGTTAGTTAATATTTGTTGTATCTATGTTTAAACTAACTACATTGGGTTTTGTGTTATGCTGCTTTGTTAGATTTATCAGTTATATCTTTATTTTTGTCGTCTGGTTATTTTCCTTCGTAGACAAATTTTTGTATCTTTGATATTTTTGTATCTATAATATTTTTGTATCTTTGATATTTTTGTGTCTATAATATTTTTGTATTTTTGATATTTTTGTATCTATAATATTTTTGTACCTTTGATACTTTTCTTTGGTGTCTTTGATATTTTGGTATATTTGATAATATTTTTGGTATATATTTTTATCTTTGGTATTTTTGTATCTTTGTTTACGTCATTGTGAGCGTATTAACGCCCAGGTGCTCTGTCCACTGATGATAACATTTTCCATATTCAACACTCCCATTGGTGATGAAGATGATGACGACGACGATGATAGTGATGATGATGATGATGTTTATGATGATGAGGATGATGATGGTGATGATGACGATGATGATGATGTTGATGTTTATGATGACGATGATGTTTATGATGACGATGATGATGGTGATGACGATAATGACGGTGTTAATAATGATGATGACCCAATCCAATTCAATAAAGGACTAATTCTCTCATCAGCTCTTCGTCCATCCATCCGCCCATGAATTAATAATTCAGTTCTATTTTTAACTTCACGTTTTTTTTTCTCTCTCAATTTGCTTTTTTTATTTTCGGTTTCTATTTTTTAAGGAAGAATAGGTTTTTCCAATCTTTTTTGGTTTTTCGCTATCTCCATTTTATTTTTCAATCATTTTTATCTATATTTTTTTGACCAGCTCTTGACATTTTTTGAATTTTTTTTTTAGAAACTTTTTTTTGAGAAATCTTTTTGCCGCAGTCTACATGACATATGTTGTTTTTGTTGTTGATGATGTTGTTGCTGATGTTTTTGTTGTTGATGTTTTCGTTGTTGATGTTGTTGTTGATGTTTGCTATTGAAGTGGTTATAAGATAGTGATGAAAAAAATCGATCCGCATACACATTTGTCTATACGTTCATCCATCCATCTATTCATTTTCCCACCCATTCATCTATCCATTCATCCATCCATTCATCCATCCATCTATTAATCTATCTCTGTATCTAATTTGTCTATTTGTCTCTCTAAATATCTCTTCACTCAATTATTCATCTATTCATTTGCCTGCAAGTTTTTTTCCAACTTAAGGGATATTCTCATCATTATAAAATATTTTTAATTTGCACACATTGGGAGTAGTGAGTTTTGTTTGAGGATGAAAGAGATGATGATGACGACGATGATGCCAATGTGGATGATACAATGATTAAAATGACTGCGATGTTGTGATGATGGTGGTGATAACGGTTACGACAATGACAATGCCGACGACGACAGCCACAACAGCGATGACGACGACGACAGCCACAAAGGTAACGACGACGACGACAGCCACAACAGCAACGACGACGACGATTATTGACATTTGTTGCTATCGATCGTGATTTCCGCTAAGACTGTTTCAATAGTCCGATATAAAAGCCTGAAACAAGAGTGGGCGCTGAAGAAGACGATGATGACGACGATGATGACGACGATGATGACGACGATGACGATGAAAAAAACATGATGAAGAGGATTATTAATAATGGCTGTGCTTAATTTGATAATGTCGTCCCGGACCATCAAAACATAGCGGTAACTACAATAACAATAAAGTTAACGATAATGACTGCAATAAAGATGACGATCAAGGCGACGCTACAAAAAACGCCGGCCACAACAACCACAAAGAGACATCATTAACGATAAACACTTTTTATATTTTATTCTTTAAAAACGTTCGCTAGTGTAGTCACAAAATTTCATCTCTCCATGAAATCCATCAAGGGTAAACTGGGAGAGTTGCAAGTGTCGCTGAACTACGAAGGCAGTGTTGGAGTCATCAGCGTTGGCATCGTCAAGGCAAGGAATTTGAAAGCTATGGACATCAACGGCTCATCTGGTCAGTAGTAGTAGTAGCAGTTACTCGTCTTTCTTCATTTTAAGACTGTTGAAGAACAATCAACGAAGAACAATAAACGATTCAATTATTAGTATGTCGATACTTGGATCAAATTTATTGCTGACTAGTTGTAACGAATCCCATGCTTCAGATCCTTACGTTAAAGTCTGGTTAATGCACGATGGCAAAAAAGTGGAGAAGAAGAAGACTGAGACGAAGGAGAAAGACTTGAACCCAACATTCAATGAGACCATGATGTTCACCGTCCCGTACGAACGCATCCGGCAGACCAGCTTGGTCGTCTCTGTCATGGATTACGATCGTATGGGCAGGAATGAACCTATTGGTTTGTACTTTCTCTAACAACTCAACTAAACCAATCAGTTATAATAGAACAATCAATCCATCCACCAACCAATCAATCCATTTATCCATCCATCCATCCATCCATCCATCCATTCATCCATCCATCCATCCATCCATTTAGGCCAATTAATCCTAGGCAATAAGAGCGGGCCTATGGAAGTAAAACACTGGAATGAGATGTTCGCGAAGAGTCGGACGAACGTTGTCAAGTGGCACATATTGAAGGATTTCAGTTGAACTGTCACCACTGTTGTTATATTGTTAATGTTAACGTAATCGTCGTTTCGCGTACAAAATGTTAAGATCGTTAAAGTGTATTCTAAATTTCAAAGTGTGTGTGTGTATTTGTGTGTGAGTGTGTGTGTGTGTGTGCGTGCGTGTACTACACATACAAGTAGTTTATGTATCTCCTCCGCGTTTTTTCTATCTTGATTTTTTGCATTAAGATAAACTCTTTTCGGAAACAACACAAAATTTATTTTGTATCCCTATTGATTTTTCATTATTTTTCAAAACGACTTGTACTGTTCGAGCTTACAGACCCTATGAAAAACCATCCATCTTATGAAAAGAACCGACTCCATCATCCACAAACATGCATAATATTCTTTCTTCAAGTGTAGTGGTGACATTTGTCAGACAATTTTACTGATAACTTCTTATTTATTACATAATAACATCGCAATAGCATGTCTCTGTCTTCATTCCATATTAACCTTAATTTATTTCGTTTTTTATTTACTTTTTTCAAGTGTATTACATACTCATATACATATTCTGGAGGTATACATATATAATATATATATATATATATATATATATATATATATATATATATATTATATATATATACATGTTTGTGCGTGTGTGTGCATGTGCGCGTGCGTGTTGTATATACACGCAAACTCGCAAGCATAAAGCATTAGAATGTGTCCAATTCAATTTAAAGTACTTAAACAGTTTTTAGCGTCGGATATAATCAAAGTGTGTACTGTCAGAGATTGCGATATAGCAAACCACATAATGGTGCCACATATATTTTTGCATAATCGATTGACATAGAAGAGTCCGTACTTATGGGCTATATTAAAGTGTACTAAGTATCAATTTCTAGCATTACGCTCTATTAAATCTGTACACTTGATTCTTATAGACTCATTATGAAATGTCTGTTCGTCATGCTAGTGTAAGTTACATTTAAACACCATGCTTTATATGTATCTGTTCGATTTTTTTTACAACTTTAATGCTTCAAATGACGGGCGATCACTTTTTGGCGTCGTACAATGTACATCTGTAGTACGAGTACGGAAAACTTGTGTGGGTGCCAACAACTTAGCAACAATTTAAGCTTTGTAAACAAAAAATATTTACTGAACGGCGTTTGTTGTTACAAACCTGACATCAACCTTTCTTTTGTAGGATTAAAACGAACAGCTGATTAATTACAATCGGTAATTTTAGTTATCGTAATGTACGATTATAGAAATGATTTCAGATATTTCAGGCACTCGTTCAGTAAATAAAATTCGTTGTTTTGGTTGAAATCTGAAGTGAAATGAATATACTGGTTTTATTTTATATTTTTATATGTACGCCACCTCGCATCATTGTTTAATATTTGAATGTGTATAACAATGACAACACTGGCAACAGTGTTAATAATGTCTGTTAATAATGTTGACAACAGTTTTTTTTGCACGGTTTCATTGCTATTGATCTTTTTGTTACAACCTATAAACACGCAAGACAAACGTATTTCACCCAAAACCATCAAATAGTTGTTCGTGTTCTCTGTACTGCGGATATATTTTTAAGAATAAATGAGACACCGCAATCTTCCAAGTTTCGTAAATTTAGCTACGCAACAAAAACTCAACACAACCCCAACCCAAGCAATGCGATCGAGCGGACGGACGCATTCAACTTTAACTGAGCAAGAAACCAACCAAGACTCAAAAATTTACAATAAAAAAATTTCACACATCTGTACAACAAACGCTGGTTCCTTCTTGGAAACAAGCAAAAACGCCCAAAGATAAGAATTACCTGATTGTGGGTACTTAGAAACCAACTAACTAATGCTTATCTTTCAAAAAATGATCTAACTTAAAACTTGTCTCAACTTTTATCAAATTTTTATACAAATTTTATAAAAATTCTCCAACGTCTCTGACAAGCTTTTTTGATAATATGCACATTTTGATTATGATCTGATACTAAATGTGAAAACCTGATTTACTTCGTTACTTACAGAGTTTGTTGATGATTTAAATGGAATTTCGTTTCTTAAACTACAAAAACCCAGGTAAAATTTATTTTCATACTGTCTTCGTACATATAATTATATAAATAGGCCTTCAGACATACTCATACCCCCCCAGATACAAACCATATTCTGGAAACATACTCCAATAAGAAATTATGACAAGAAATGTTAAACATGGCCGGCCATGGAAGTGGGTTATCAGTGACAAATACTTGTTCTATGAATTACTTGAAAGCTTATATAAGCAAATAAGATAAGACCATAGCATTTTGTATGGCTTACTCACTAAGATTCTTTAAATAATTTCATCTTGTCGTGAATTGATTACTTTTAAAGTTATCTTTATTCAAATACTTTTGTCATTAAGTTTCTAACTTAACTTTTTATAACTCACATAATGGTATTTATAAATTGCGTAAACAAATGCCAAAAGATAGATGACATATCAAAAACATTTATAATTTTAATAAATAAATAACTTCATTTAAATAATTCAGTAAGTTGATTCATTGCGATTAGTTAAGAAAGTGTATGATTTATAGTGATAAAAATGTCGTGTTATAATAAATAATTAATTAGCAGTTGCTGACAAAATATAACAGATCATCACTAAGGCAGTTTTGTCATCTTTGTCATTATTTCTAACACTATTTACAGTTTGATATCAAAATATTTAATAAGTCACTCCATTAAAATATATTTATATTCGTAATTTGTACACGGTCGTAATTCACTTTACTCTCAACCCTTCATCGTGTCTTTCAAATTTATTCAATCATCATTAGCATTAATACCGCATTCATTCAGATAGAACAATTTCTTATTCCACCTTTTTGTAGATGCCACGACAGCTGGCACAATGACTATGACCGCCATCATCATCCACCTCTCCTCTACCAAGAGTCGAATTTCTTCCTTTCCAACAATCCACAAGAATCCTCCAGACGCCGTAGAGAATGTACAAAACAAAGAAAATGACAAATGAGATGAGTAAAATGACATCTAGCAACAAATACTGAAACGTGAAGAGTTCTTTGCCGGGTGGTTGAAGATGGTCACAGCCGTATTTGATCACGTGTTCGGTCCAGTAGGCTGCCCGCTCTGATGCCGATTGGGGCTGCGAGCGAAAGATCTCTGAGGCTTTTGTTATGTTGCTCTTATAGGTCGGATCTTCAATGATCTGGATGTGTGTGTGTTTGTTTGTTTTGTTTGTTGGTTTGTTTGTTGGTTTGTGTTCGTGTGCGTTAGTATACAAGCGGACAAAAAAAAATAGCTATGAACTAATGTATTTATGATGTAAAAACTAATAACAAATTAAAAAAAAACAAAAACTAAAAAAAGACAAACAAACAAAAACAAACAAATAATTGCAGACCATGCGTATCTTCTTCGTCATCTCTTCAACGGACAACTTTCTAAAATCCAACATTTCACCGAAATGTTTTTCGACAATTCTCTGTGCATTTTTTGGCTGGTCACCAAACAAAGGTATCGTCAACATGGGGACCCCTTGTTGTGTGTATGTGTGTGTGTGTTTTTGTTTGTTTGTGTGTGTGTGTGTGTGTGCGTGTGTGTGTCTACATGTCTTTAAGAGATAAATTAATAATATATTGATTTGTTTGAACAATTTTTTAAAAGTAAATACAGATTTTAAAAAATTCCTCATTTAAACCGTGATATAGGGCTTCGAACTGTCCGTTATTTCCTCCATGAGTTATGAACAGAACTACTTCCTTCCTGCTCAGCAATTGGTTTTGCGGCAGCCAATCAGATATGAGAACGTTCGGCGGTAATTTTGAATGTGGCTCCGTACCGTTGGTCTTCCATATAAATCTGATTTTATTAATCACCATTTAATCAACGGTCATTTTGAATGAGCTTGATTTTATTTCTCAATAAGTTGTTAACTCTGAAGCAGAACTAACTGGAGGTGGGTAACATCTTAAGAATACATCTATTTTAAAATAAACTCTCTGCTGTTGCTTCAAATATATTGATTGAATGAACAAAACACTGACCTGAGTTTTGGAAATTGGCTGAAAACATCTAAAAAAAGTTTGGTGTATCGATCCGGAAATGACGATACGAGGGAGCCGAACGAGACAAGGACCGCACCGTCGCTCCCTTCTGCACTCAGAAATGACTCATATTTGGACATTGTTGATGGTGATGAGGAGGAAGAAGAGGGTGACGACGAAGATGACGAAATTATTTCAATAGTCAAACCACCGACGTGAGCGACGTTAGCGGTGTGCGGCATAATTTTATCCATTGCCAGATTGTGCGTTGTGAAGAACATTGCCGATTTTCTGACCAACTCGTTCAAGTTACGGAAATCTTTAAACTTTCTGTATTCGTCGAGTAACTTGTCTGAGATTGGCATATCGAAGGGTGATGTGATCATCTGCCAGACCATCAGGGCTACGTTGTACAATCTGTTGACGAATACACTGGCGTTCAGTGACTTGCCGGCCAGAATGGGAGTATAAAAGGAAGGTAACCAGGGAGTTGGAACCATCGAGGGATCTAACGCGTCCGTGTAAGTTATCCAGGGAATGCCTAGCTTGTGAGGTATCAAGTAAAAGTAGTTTATCATCGGCAGGCAGTCGACCACTGCGATGTCAAGTTTCAACGACTTCAACTTATCGATTAGTTCGTCGTTATCGGTAAGTAGTTCTCTATGAAGAACGGAGTTTACTATTTGCGATTGCTCCAATACGTAGCTCATTTTGGGATCGTGATCCATGAAATTCATCGTCATATCCTGATTGAATTTCTCGATATTCATCACCTCGCTACTTTTGCCGCCATAGCGATGATAGGTTACTCCGAAGTTTGGCCAACCAGGAGGGGCTTTGAAGCTGACGTCAAGCAGCATGTGCACGTGATGTCCACGTTTGGCCAGTGCCCATCCAATCACATTCAACGAGCCCACGTGACTGTTCACAGGAATAGGAATCAGTAAAATTCCGCTGGCTTCGGTGAAGTTGAGAAGCGCGAGTAGGTGCGGAACTATGAAGGAAAATGTGAACGTCACTGAAATCATTGCGTCCTAGAGGCTACAAGACGTTCAAAAATTCACAACTTGCGGTATAAAAATGTCAACTATTAATTATTTATTTGCAGAAATAAGTTACGCTCGTCTCAATAAAATGAACTTTTATAAATCCAAAAACAGTCAATTCGTTGGTCGTTTCAATATTTTGCTGTTTCTTATGTTAACAAAAAATAGATTAAACAAAACTACAATTAAATTTTTGGTTTATCGCTTGAAACTTCAACGTCATGTGGTTTTTCGTGCCATATCCTTTGCGACCAATACTTTTATATGTATGTGTATATATATATATATATACACATACAAAATAAGATATATATATATATATATATATATAGACCAATACATATTATATATATATGTATGTATATATATATAAAAACCAATATATATTATATATATATGTATATATATATGTATAAATTTAGGGTTGGGACTGTCGTACAGACAATTATTAAAAAATATTACTGATTAGTTAATCAAAATTGAAAATGCAGTGATATATATATATATATATATTATATATATATATATATATATATAAAATTATATACCTATATACTCGAATAAAGATAGTATATGTATGTATATATGTTCATGTCATTTTTTTAACAAAGCATATTTATAATTCTTTCACAAATAGTAAGCGTAATAAAAATAAAAATAATCAAATTGTTGTTATTCTGAAATAATAATAATGTTAATAATAATAGTAATAATAATTTCAAAGAGTTAAAATGGGTTTCATAAAATTATTTATAGAAAAAAAATAATTTGAGCAATACTATGCTCTGATTCATTTTAGTAGTGGCCGTTGTTTTTCTGTTTTGTAGACTAGAATTTTACTCGTTTCATTATGTATCAGTGTTTGTATGTGTATATGTATCTGTGTGTGTGTGCGTGTGTGTGTGCGCGTGTGTGTGTGCGTGTTTGTAAGTGTGTGTTTGAGGGTGTGTGTTTGGATTCATGTGTATGTGTACGTTCGTGTTTTTGAATACATATATAATATATATACATAAATATTTTTATATTATATAAATCTGAATGCCTATATTAATGCTTATATCGAGTGTATGATATATATGTCCTAAAATTTTCTGTCCAAAAATAATTACGTATCATAATTTTTATAAAAAAAAATTTTGTTAATCTTCACTGTATTGTAGTAAGTTATTCGTCCTGCTGCTACATATAATTTTTTGCCACTATTATATCTGTATAATTTTTTTTAAATTATACAGTTCGTATTGAAAGCATGACCAGTTTCACAGTGCTGTATTGATACATCTTCTTAAAATGAGAAACAAGACATTAAAAGAAAAATAGTGCTTTTTGTCTTGCCTTTTATGAGCAGTTACTTGCATTTGAAGCAGGTAACTGAACTGCAACTAGATATTCGGCGTTTCTATGTCCTAGCCACTTGGTAAGTGTCAATTAATTATTGTTTGCTGTTGAAATCATACTCGTTCGATTTAAGAGACGACAAAACAACATCAACTATCATATGATGGGCTCAACGAGATAAATGCTGAATTATAGTATAAAAAATTAATAATGATCAAACCCACAAAGAATTAATCTGCAATGAAGTGTGTTGGTTATTTAACTTTTTATTGACCAACAATGGAGTAAATTTTACACCCTCTTACAGAAAATAACCGTTAAAATATGTGATGGTTTCAATCCAATCTTAGTTGAACACTTCATCAATACCTCTTAAAAGCTTGAATGAGTCTGCTTGCAAATAGCTGATTGAATGATTGATTACATGAAATGTCTGGGTGTGGTCTCATGGTTGCAGAGACATTATTTGATTCTGAATATAAAAAGTAAATTTTATTCTTTTGCTTCATAAATGTAACAATTTGTTTCTTAAAAAAACTATTTTTCAACCATACAAGAAACAAAACAAAGTCAGAACCCAAGCCGTTAAGTTTTTTTGTCTTTAAACTGTGCCACCTATTTTTGAAATTATTTTTTATGATGATTATGATGTTAATAACGCATGTATGTATATATATATAATATATATATAAATATATATAATTCAGTATATATTATAATATAATATATATATATATATATATATATGCTTATATGTATGTCTGCATATCTACTATAATAATAATATTTAAGTGGTATTTTTGCAGGTAATTGAGATAAGAACATGTTGCATAGTTCAATTTTTAACTTCCTGGTTATGTCTCGAGTCAAATAATCCATTTATTATATTTATTTAATGTGTTATTTATTTTATGTGTTTTTTTATAATTTAATATGAATACCATTTTCTAGGTGGCCATTTTTTAAGTTCTACGGGAATACAGTTGTAACCATGGGAAGAAGAATTACAGGTAATTCAGAATTTTATTCACTCATTTGCGGTTTTTGGTTTAAAAACATTTTGTAGCAACTTCACGCGTGTGACGGTGTGAGATATTTTGCCACAGATCTCGGACGAAGAACGCGTAAACTCGTCGAGAAGTTTCACTGTTGTCATTGTTGGAGTACATTTATTAATAGTAGGCAACTTGTACGTGCGTGTGTGTGTTTGTTTGTATGTGTGTGTGTGCGTGTGTGAAGTGCTCAACTAAGATAGGATTGAAACCATCACACATATTTTAATGGTTATTTTCTGTAAGAGGGTGTAAAATTTACTCCATTGTTGGTCAATAAAAAATTAAATGACCAACACACTACATTGCAGATTAATTCTTTGTGGTGTTGATCATCATAAATTTTTTATACTATAATTCAGCATTTAATCCGTCGAGCACAAAATATGATCGTAGATGTTGTTTTTTCGTCTTTTGAATCAAACGAGTAAGATTCCAACAGCAAAAACACACACACATACATTCACACACACACACATAAACACACATCAAACAATACTAACCGGTATTTTTTTACTTACGCTTTTGTATTGTGTGTATACTTTGCGTATGTGTGTGTGCGTGTATCTACCTGTGTGTGTGCGTGTGTGTGCGTATGTGTGTGGTTGTATGTGTGTGTGTGTATTTGTTTCCGAGCGGTGAGATTATAAATAAAATGGTTATACGAGCAAGCCAATGAATACATGTGAACATTTGAACAGTTACTTGCCGTTACGTTACGTCTGAGCAATCTTTCTCACTTTCTCTTCCTCGTTCTCTCTTTGTTTCTCTTTTTTTTTCCTCTCTCTCTCTCTCTCTTTCTCTCTCTTTCCTTTTTATCTCTTCCTCTCTCTTTATCTCTATCTCTCTTTTTGTATTTAGAGATTTCACTAAATGTGGTTGTACATGTTGCATATGTTGTACATATGCTCATTTCTGGAAGAGAGAGAGAGAGAGAGAGAGAGTAAGAAAATAAAGAGAAAAAAATGATAATAATAAGAGAGAAAAAGAGTAAAAAGAGGGTTTAAGCTGATGTGTGCTTCTCAAATTTTGAATGGGTATAGAGGTCCACTTTCGAACAAAAGCTGATCAAAAATTTTATAATCATGACGATAATGACGATAACAACAACGAAACAACAACAACAACGAAGCAACAACAACAATATAATAATAATAACAACAACAACAATTAAAAAATAGCAGCTGTAGTATCAGTAGTTAAAGTTGCTAGCTATTTTAATACAAAAGTTGGTAGTAGTGAAACGTCATTATGATTAACAGTAGAAGTAACACCAATGATACCAGTGTAATAATTTAATGGTGTTAATTTGGCAGTTGTAACATTTTACTAATCAGTAGACTGGTATATTAATATGAATGTTATCGAAGTTAGTGTTAGAAGGTTCGTAAAAGTTTTGTAGAAGGCTGAACTGATAGCGAGTGCACTTGAATTGAGGTCTTTATCTGAATGAATGAATGAATGAATGAATGAATGAATGAATGAATGAATGAATGAATGAACGAATGCTTGATTGATTGAATTATCGAACAAACGAGAAAATGAATAAATGCATTCATTTATTCATTCGTTCGTTAATTTATCTAATTATTCTATAAGTATAACTAATGAATTAATCTATCTAATTGATTGATTTATTAACTTGTTAAACAATGAATTAATATATTCATATATGCAAGGAAGAAATTAATGAAATAAATTTCTAATACAATAAATGGACTAATGAATGGATGAACGAGCAAACAAACAAACAAACGCACGAACAATCAAAGAAACAAACGGACGAATGAATGAATGGATGAGCAAAGATTGAATAATTTATTTGAATCGAATTACTTCGTCTAAGGCAAATGTATGATGAGTTTTGTAGCGGCTGTCGTCGGCGATATTGTGGTTTCTGAAGCCGATGTCGTTGGTTGCGGTCCTGTATGTACCGATGCTGCTGAAGCTGTTGAAGTTGCGGTTGTTGCTGGCGAATTTGAAACTTCGAATTTCGTTGAGAGATGTATCGGTGAATAAAATTATTATTGCTTGGCTGCTTTTGTTGGCGATGACGATGGATGGATGGACAGTACACGCAGATGAGTGGATGAGTGCAATATGATGACTCGTTCATTTCATCACATTCTTCATACTCTGCCATGTTCTTCAATGCTTCAGATTTTATAGCATCATCATCATCATCATCCTAACAGTCATTATCATCGTCATCATCGCCATAGTCATCATTATCATCGCCATCACCATCATCATCACCACTATCAAAAATACACTGACCACTTCTCCTCAGACATCGGACACCTTGTTGCACGAACTGGGCAGGACAAGCGCACACACCACGTTTGCATACAGCTCCCCGCTGGCAGTCGTAATCGTCATCACAGCCCACCTCACCTACTTCATCTTTCCAGCGATTGTAACGTCATTTCATTGTTGTTGTGGTTGTTGTTGTTGTTGTTTGTTGTTGTTGTTGTTGTTGTCAATATTTTTATTATTGATTTTATCAAGGCCACAAAATCTAAAATAAGCGACGTCATTTTTATCACAAACTATCATTCTTCCGTCGTCACTTCAAATTTTCATCCTCATCGTCCTCATCACCATCCTCGCCATCCTCATTCCAACCATCCAATCATCCAGTACTAACAGTGTCTACATGATAGATGACGATGATGATCATCATCTTCATCATCACCACCATCATCATCCCCATCGTCATCATCTTCTGGAGTTCTTGCGGACACAACATCACAGACGCATACATTCGTATCTTTGGAGCAATGTACGTTATTGCTAACGTACCTGCCATCTGACGATACATTTTTTTTTAATAGTTTGGCGACTGTAAATATTCATAATCATATAAGTAAATTATAATTTAATACTAATTACTATTACTACTACTAATAATAATAATAATAAAAAAAGTGAAAAAAAGAACCAACCTGATTTGTGGAGACATCGATCTATTCCATACCTGCATCTTTCATTCAATAATTTCTCGCCAGACGTCAGACAATGCAATCCATCTGGAGTCATAATCAGTCCATCCCTGCAGGTACATCTCTTCTCGATGACGTCACACGACATCCGGTCGCTCAGGCAGATGTCGGTATTCGGATCGCATTGTTGGTTTGGGAGTTTTGCTGACGGCGTCGGTTATTTTTTGTATCGCATGTTTGTATGTTTGTCTGTATATATGTTTGTTTTTGTGTATATATATATGTTTGTGTGTATATATGTTTGTATGTAGGGTTGTTTGTGTGTATACATGTTTGTTCGTTTGTATATGTATGCATGTTTGCATGTTTTTTGTTTGTATGTGTATGTGTCTGTTTGCATATGTGTATATGTATGTTTGGATGTTTGTTTGTTTATTTGTATGTTTGCATGTTTGTTTGTTTGTATACTGACAAACCTTTCAAACATGCCCCATGCACGTATTTGTAGTTGGCAGCAGGGCAATCACACATTCCAATGCTGCAACCGTGGAAACTATATTTACATACCAAACCAGTCTGGCAGTGGTCGTCATCGTGACAAGTTTGCTTGTAGGTCTGTAAGTGTGAATGTAAGTTAGTAGTAGCAGCAGTTGTAGTAGCTGCTGCGGCTGTTGATGTGGTTGCCGTGATTGCTGTGGCTGTTGAATGTTGTTTGGCGTTATTGTTGTTGAAGTTAAGCCTGTTGTTTAGGTTGATATCGATGTTGTTGTCTGAAATGCGATAGTTGCTGATGTTGATGTTGTTGTTGAGGTTGTTGTTATTTTTGACGTTGAGGTTGTTGTTATTGTGGATGTTGATGTTGTTGTTGTTGTTGATGTTGTTGTTGATGTTGTTGTTGTTGTTGTAGTTGAGATCGATGTCGTTGAGGACTTCTCTGTCGTATCTTCTAAAGACGCTTTCAGTTTTGTTGTTGTTTGAGCTGCTGTCGCTGCCACAGTTGCTGCTGCTGCCACTACCCGAGTTATCAAAAGGGAGTAACTATTTAATTAATGAATAAACTCAAGCAATAGATAAGAGTGATTTAAAATGACGAGCCAACAGAACGACAAACACATAGAAAAGACAACATAAACATAGACAACAAAAGCATAGACGAGACAACAAAACCATAGACAACAAAAACATAGTCAACGAAAAAAACATAAATATATTACATAAATAACTAAAAAAAACATTAAAACAAACAAAACTCAATTTATTTATACCTACTGAAGATGAGGTAAAATATTAATACTAGCAACCAATTCAGAGCTACTATGGACATAATATTTATTTGAAATATTTAAAAAATTTCAAATAATTTAATAATAATAGAATAATAATAATTATAATATTAATAATAATAGCAATAACAATTTTGTCAACAATAACAAAACAAGTTTCTGTAAATTATTCCAGGTTGGAATTGTTGTACTTCATTTTGATGAAACAACTAGGTTTTTTAAAGTTTCATCCTTAGACCCTTATTATACATACATGCATGCATGCATGCATGCATGCATATATACATACATGTTACTCTTTTGCATGCAGTGTAATACAATACGTAAACACACTCAAATTTATTACATATGAACATTCAAGCAAAAGTTTCATATATTATACATGTTTCCATTATGATTGTATGTATATCTTCATCATATATCATATACATTAGATACTATATGTAACGTTCATTATAGTACATATGATATACTTAGATATATACTTTTACCTTTATTCGTAGTTCGTTTTTATTCTCTCTCTCCCCCCCTCTCTCATTCTCTTCTTTCTTTCTCTTTCTTCTTTCAATGAACTTTTTCTCTATTTTTATCTCTCGCTCATTTCGCCAGAAGGAAATAAATCCTGTCTGGTTGAACTGCAAAGTTATCAACGAGATTTGATGTTTGTTTGTTGTGTCATTCCGTTTCAACATCCTTATCTCACTTATATATCAGTCCCTCACTTTCTCATCCTTCTCTCACAATTTTTTCCCTTCTTTTAATCATCGTAATCTTCTTTCCCTGTGTTATCGCTTTGTTATTCCTGTCCCATGTTGGCTATTTTTAGTATCACATTATTCTTTATTTGCTATTGCACATTATGTAATCACATCATTATCATCACTGTTGTCAGCTATGATATCAAAATCTTACTTATCATCATCATCAGGACCAGCAACATCAACAACGTCACCATCACCATCTTCTTTATCATCATCTTCTTTATCATCGTCGTCGTCTTCATTCATCGTCATCAATTTATTATGCAATCATTCATGCTAAAAAAAACTTTGAAACACAAGCTGGGGCAATTTATGAATTATCAAGTAGATTAATGTTAATATCATTAGCATCATAACTATAATTATCATTCTTGAAGTCTTCATCATCGTCATCATTATCGTCATCGTCGTCATCATCGTCATCGTCACCAACATCATCGTCATCGTCGTCGTCATCTTATGAAGCATCAAAAGAGTAATTATATTTCTGCTTCCCGCTAATTCTTATCACAATCATAAATCCTTGCTTTCAATTTAACGTCATTCATCGTCAGATTTCTACTCTTCATCATCGTCATCATCTTCACATTTATCACTATTAATCATCATTACCACATTCATCATCATCATCATCATCTTTTTCGTTACATTTTATCATAATCATCCTTATCACATTTATCATCATCATCATCATCTTTATTTAATTATATCATAATCATCATTACCACATTCATCATCATCATCTTCTTCATCATTACATTTATTATCATCTTCATCATTGTCGTCTTCAGCTTAATTATCACTGTCAGATCCAACTCTGCTTTGTTATTTGATATTTGTCATTACATCATTATCATCATCTTTTTCATTATTAATATTCTCGTTAGCATCAACATTACCATCAACAACATCATTATATTCCTGAAAGAACAGATTATCATTTTCATCAGATACTTTATAATCATCATCATCACCATCATCATCACCATCTTTCTCCTCATCATCATCTTCGTCGTCATCACCATCATCAGTTCTTTCCGGGAAAGCGTATTTAACAGTCATTTTATAACTTTCACCTCTTAAGCAACACGAAAAAATGTTCTCTATCTTTTTTTTTTCTCTCTCTCTCTCTCTCTCTCTCTCTCTCTCTCTCTCTTTCTTTCTTCTTACACACACAGACACACACACGCACACGCACATACACTTGTTTACACACAAATACACATACATAATCGTAAGCGTATAATTCACACACACACAGACAGATGACTCAACACTATTATTCGAATGTGATGATAACGATGATGGTGATGACGATGATAGTAATAATGATGATAGTGATAGTTAGTAAGAATGATGATGATGAGGAGGAGGATGATGATGATGATGACGATGATGATGATGAAAAGGTTAAATAATGTTACATGATCAATTGATTTATGATTTACATATGTTATCCATGTTTTATGTTACATGCTAAACCATGATGTATATTGTATATGTAAATATTTTTTTCGTCGTTTATTCGTTTGTATATTTGTTCATTCATTCATTCATTCATTTTTTGTTTGTTTTTCATACATTCATTCATTCGTTTGTTCGTTCGTTCGTTCGTTCACTCACTCACTCACTCACTCACTCACTCACTCACTCACTCACTCACTCACTCACTCACTCACTCACTCACTCACTCACTCACTCACTCACTCACTCACTCACTCATTCATTTATTCATTCATTCATACTTTTTACTTTCATTCATTCATTCATACTTTTTAACTTTCATTCATTCATTTGGTCATTCATTCATTCATTCATTCATTCATTCATTCATTCATTCATTCATTCATTCATTCATTCATTCATTCATTCATTCATTCATTCATTCATTCATTCATTCATCTTCAAAATTGACCTATTCATTCATTTGTTTCGGGTTAAACAAGAAAAAACATCTCTCCAATTTGTTAAAAATAAGACAACGTTGAAAATGAAGTAAAAAAAATTCTATACACCGTATTTTCTAACTTCATGATTGATTTTATTAATGATATCTTTATAAAAATCTAGAAATTAATTTAGAAATTTTTAGATATGCAAGTATGTGTATGTGTGTGTGTCTGTGTGTTTGTCTGTGTGTGCGGACTTTCTGTGTGAGTGTGTGTGTGCGTGTGTGTGTGTGTTCTGAAATCCAAAATTGGATTTCATTCCCTAGGAGTGTTACACGCATCTTCATTCTCGTTCCCAAGGTTTGTCTTTGACTTTTTTATTTATTAAGCTTAAATATGCCAGAACTTTAATAATCAATTTTAATTTACTGATTGTTTGTTGATGTTATTGATGTTATATGTTTATTTAATGGTTTATATTGATATTGATGGATAGTTTTTTGGAAGAATATAATTAGTTAAATGATAACAAAAATCAATTATGTGTTTGTGGCCATTTGTGTGTGTGTTTTGTGTGTGTGTTTTGTGTGTGTTTTGTGTGTGTATGTGTGTGTGTGTGTCTGTGTGCAATAGAAACGCAAATTCATATCACACCATTGATACGATGAAAAATGTTAAAAAAAATCTTAAGTACAAATCAATAGCACCGTACATAAAGCAACTATATACATTCAAAAAGAACATACATACATACATACATAAACACACACACACATACGTACACACAAACATACACACACACAAACATACATACAAACAGACATACACACACATACATACACACGTACAGGTACACACGTGTTACCAAACCCGGAAAGGACACATGTGTAAGAGCTTATACCTATAAATATTTATATATACATAAACTTTTGCATATATACAAAACATATATACATTCAACTGATATACAGATATACAAATACAGTGTTATATATATATATATATATATATATAATTATACAAAAAGCAATTTGCGTTTAAAAAATGATCTATGTGTATTATATATGTATATCTATGGGTATGTATGTATGTATGTACGTATATATGTATGTATGTATGTATGTATGTATGTATGTATGTATGTATGTATGTATGTATGTATGTATGTATGTATGTATGTATGTATGTATGTATGTATGTATGTATGTATGTATGTATGTATGTATGTATGTATGTATGTATGTACGTACGTAATATACATGCGTATATACGTGCGTAAATAGTCATGTATGATGATGGAGGAATTCTAATGGCTGTCCATGTAAGAATGAAATATGCAGTTAAAGATGGACAACCAGTTAATTTAACTGGTTTTTTCTTCTCGTTATTGTTGTTGATTTTGTTTGTTTGCTTGTTTGCTGGCTTGCCTGTTAGTTTTTTAAACTTTTTAATTTAAATGATTGTGAATATTTATTAACAAAAAAAATTGTTATATTTAATAATATTATTTACAATACTCTATTAATAAAAACGCTTTCTAATTAGCAATAATAATAAAAGTTATCTAGACTATTTTATTGCAATTATCAATAATTATTCGTTTAAAACTAGAAACCAACAAATTTCAAATAAGTCTCGGTTTAACAAATGAAGCTGTTTTGTGACTTCGATTTATAGGCACGACAAAAAAATTGTTAAATCAATTGTTCAATTATCCTATTTGCATTTACAAGGTAAGTTTTTTATGCAAAATTTTAATTCTTAAAAATGTTTTATTTAAAAAAATAAATGAACGACCCTACTTTAACACATATCTATATACAACCTATATTTACTTATGCCTCCTAACCTAAATTATCATCTACATAAATACCTCCCCGAAGTAGCGTCAGACATGCAGCGCTTAGTTTTTTCTGGCAGTTTTCAAAAAGAAAACAAAATGAAGTTTCTTATCTCAGTTAAATGTAATAAGTTAAATTTTAGACGAAACAAAACATATTTTTAACCATTTAATAATACAAAACAGGAATGCAGCACGCACAAATCGCCAGGCGCGGCGAGATAAGTAAATAAAGAGGGAATGCAGTAGCGATTATGTGGATGGGGTAAGTACAAACAAACAGATGAACGAGCGGACGAACGAATGATCAAACATGCAAACAAACGAGCAACCAGACACAAGAATAATCAAATTAATGAATGATGAACGAAAAACGTTAGAACGAACCAGAGAACCAACAAACAAACCGACCAACGAACGAACGAACGAACAAACGTATCAATATTTTTGCACTGCAATCAACTCAAACTGAAATGGAGTCACTGAACTGGACGAACACGGAGAACATTTGTGAATGACTCTATGAGGAGGATAAATCATAAAAAAATTAT